GCTCAAATTATTTCAGGAAGTTCGTAACACCTACGGCCTGGAAACCTTTAAACTATGTATTCAAAAAAAGTTCGTACAGCCATTATCCCTCCCACGTTGGCCTATTAAGACATAACCAACTAATGACTTCTACATCACCCTTTGTTTATATTTTCAACCCCTTTCTTATCATCCCTTAATCTTATCTTCACGTGTTTCATTTCCTTCCCTTACAATCCAACATTACTTAATCGGTTCATTTGTTTTTACTAGCCTTTATCGACTACTTCCACCTGAACAGTTGTTTGTTTGATCATGCTGTTTTTCATTATTCGTGTTATCACAGATTGCATCATTTTTTCATCCTTATTATTGATAAGACCATTTTTATTATTACTATTATTATTATTATCATTACTACTATTATGACTAATTGCACAATTTATATTCACCATCGTATTATCCTATAGACAAAACACCATGATTGGTTTATATTTGGATTTTTATTTGTAAACTTATATATATTAGAGTTAAGCCTGATGAGATCTAATTGTAAACAAGTTTAACTATCCTTAATTGTTGTATTAATTTCCACTCTTAGTTTTATCTGCTTTAATTTTAGTATAAGATATTTTTATGCGCATTATCACATACACATGCCTTTTAAACTCTAATCTACAGATTATAAAAAATCAATATTATTTTAAAAACAATAACACTGTGAATAACAAACACTCTTTATATATAACTGTGTGACCTGATGTTGAAGGAGTTATCTAAACGGATATTCTCTGCCCGATCTTATTTTACAAGAATAATCATCACTTAAAGTAAGAAAATGCTATTTATTTTTATCAAATGCAACTGCATAATAATAATGATAATTTGCTTTATTCCAAAACAGTACTTTTGATACAGAATGGAATTCTCAGCATTTTACTACAGTATTGCATCCAGTTAGTACATTATCAATAAATAAAATTCTACATAGATTAAGGAAATCTCAGTTCATTATGACAACAACATATTGGCATGTCAGTAGCAAAGCCAAAGCTAAACAGTGTTTGAAGGTGTTAGAAAAGTAGGTGCTATCATATTTACTGGCGTAAGCGAGAGAAAGAAACAAAGCAGCACATAACGGAAAAAAGAGAGAGAGAATAGGAAAAGAAAGAAAGAAAATGTTGTACCTATAAATGATATGAGTTGGAAAGACGAGACCCAGTTGTTCTACTGACTATTTAATGAATTATAGGTGTCACGCCTAATGCTTTCTTTATCACACAGAACACGAGCTAAGTAGGGTATGGTTGAGTTTTTGTACTTGATGGTGCGAGCATATAGTAGTAATGAAAAGGGTTATCCGAAAAAGCTGCTAAATCATATTATCAATAAAAAGGTGTAGAAGGGAAAACAGAAAACTGAAAAATCTTGGCTACCAACAATAACCATTCCATAGTGAAATGGGACAGCTGAATAACTTCAAAGACTACTTGATTCATATATACTGTTAAAGTTTATTTCAAGTTCTCTAATTCTATAGGGAAAGCTTTGGTGAATGTCAAAGATATGGTTGTCAAAATGTCACAAAGTAATTGTGTCTATAGAATGAAGTGTTTAGAATTGGGAAGCTTGCTGGCTATACAGGGGAGAGCACTAGACAGGTGAAAGTCAGAGTGAATGAACATACACTGTACACGAAACATATCCACCTAGAAATGAAGTAGAATCAAAAAGACAGCGAACATAAGATTGATTTCGATAATGTCGAAATTCTAGGAAGAGGCTTTCATCATTCACATAAAGATAGGTTGACCTCTGAATCCTTTTACACATTTTAACCACATTGAATGCAGTAAATAGCATGGAAGGGATAGACTTATCGCCTATATGGCAAGTCACAGACAGTATTTTAGGGGCAGTAGTCACTGTAGGTTATGGGCCCAGCATACTTCCATTGCTCCAGTCTTGTGTGTCGGTGGCACAGCGGTAGAATGCTCGTCAACCACGCAGGTGGTTCGGGTTTGATTCCCGTCCAACGCTTTCCTTTACCTCACTAAGCCAATAATAAGACTAGCAAAGAGTGAAGGTTGGATATGACGCCAGCAACTCCATAGCGTAGAAAAAATACCACTGCCACAGAAACTTCAAAGCTCTAGCTTGAAGCCCTGTGTTCCACTGGGAACGCAAAGGGATAAAATAATAAAAAATAAATAACAGTCATTCTACAGAACTGACAGATGTTTAACTTTGTATTTTTTGACGACCGACATTTAATGTTTCATACATTTATTCCCCTTTATGAATTTGAATCAAGCAAGAAAAACAGTTTGTGCAGAATAAGATGGTACCATCATTTGTTTCGTTGGCTTCTCATCAGCTGCTTATAGCCTAAAGATATTATTAAGTTTATATGTAGTCAAAATTACATCATCCTTTCAAATTTTCACATGATTTCAGTTGACAGAGAGTTCAAGTTTAAACAAAAAATCAATACAGTCGTACAATTGTGAACGATTCAAAGGTTACATAATCAAATGAAAGAGAGAATAAAGACATCCAGCTGCCAGGGCAAGGAAAGACTGATAACTGCTTCTTTCTGAACACATAAATCGGGTTTCAGGTGTTTGATAGAGACTGCTTTGGCAAACTTGAGGAGAACTGAGCTATTTTGTGTATTGATAATTTTAAAGGACTTTGCGATATCCACCTCATGACCCTTATCAAGGAGATGCCTGGCAATGGTACTACTGAAAGCAATTGTTCCTTTGAGACGGAGGATTTTTGTTACATGTACCTAAAAGCTAGTAGTTTCTCAAGAAGACTCTTTTAATCACAATGAAAGTAAGTAGTTGAAGTAATAAACCTTACTGTTAGCATAAGCAAATCTAACAGTAAATAACTTAATGTGGCTGTAATAAGAATTTGGCGACTTGAATTTTAATTTTCCTAGTCTCACAATCCCATCGATTGGATTCAAAGACAGAAATACTATCGAGTATTCAGGTGACTTCCAACTGATCGCTTTAGAGCATCATGATTCGCCTTGGACAACCTCAGTAACATAAATTGTAGCCATCATCAACAACCTGAATATGTGAAAAAATGTGTCTGTCTGTTGGAGACAAATTTAGTTTACTGTGTCATGCCTTCCTGAGAATAAACAGTTAAATAGTACCAATTTATACCGGTGACTTCCTGCAAATACTTCCGAAGCAAATTGAACAGTCTTATTACGGTAGTGTGGACACCTTTGATGGGACGCCTCGATATTGCCATAATGTTTTGGTATGTACTTACTCAGGTATCAAAAACGATGTCACTGAAATTCAGTGTCAATGAGGACACCGCTAATCAATCGCCTTGTAGCCAGAAGGTCCTGGGTTCGAATCCTGGTGGGTGTGTACTGATGAAGAGTCCCAAACTGGGACGAAACAGCTGTCCGGTACTCCTAGGTTTTCCAATGGTTCTCTAACTCATGATGAAATCCTGTAACCAATCAAATCCCTACAAACCAACACTTGAATTCCGATTCTGATATAATTTTCATTCGCCTTTTCTAGTTACGGTATGCTAAAATTAATGGATTTATAATTGTAAAAAACTGAAGTTATTACTGATTACAACTGTTCACTCCTAACTATTCTTATCCCACACTCTCTGCTCCCAAAAACCTTCTTTATCTGAACCTTCAATTCAATAAGGCTAGGTATATCGGTAGTTCGACTCGAGTTTTGTCTAAGAGGGTGCAAGAACACTATCCTGCATGGTTACGAAGAGGTAGCAGTGGAGCAATAAGAAGCAAGATCATTGAACATCTGGTCGATAATGACCACCCTATCTGTATAGCCTCCGCCTTTAAGGTCATCTACAAGGCAAAAAGTAATTTACTGAAATCACTACGTACCCAACTTATCTGTACTGCTGAAGCTTTAGCTATTGAAACAAAAAAGCCAGATCTCTGTGTACAGAAAAAGTTCGTTCAACCCCTCCAACTTTCATGGTCTTAACCCCTCTACGCTAAAGTATGGTAATCCCTATTCATATTTTGGCTATACCAGTTTTTCATTTTTTCATTTTGTCTATTCAGTTTGTATACTCTTCCTTTATTACGTCAATTGTTACTATTATTATTATTCTCACTTTGAACTGTCCCCGGTATTATTTCACTCGTTCCACTACTCGTGATTCTAAATCAATTCCTTTATGCAACATTAAATTCTATGCTATTAAATTTCACACAATATTACGTAACGTTTTTATTTTATTCGATTTGTCTACTAACCCTATAATTGCACACCCTTTCCAAGTTCTATCCATCCTATGAATTATTCTATATATGACATTAATTGTTTTGCCACTTGACATTTAACTATGATTATAATCACAAACATTTTAGTTTTAATTGCATTTCATACTAGTGTTATTATTATTATTTTATGCATTCACACCTATGATTCGATTCCCTCACCGGATATAACTTCTTAAAAACCATATATATACGACTGTACAGCTTGATAGTAAATTCGTTGAAAAGAGTCTCTTCGCTAAATCCCTTGTTTTGATTTTCTATATGTTACAATGGGAATTTTCCATGAATTAAAAAAATAGCAAAGAACCTTCAAAATCATCTACAGAATAGGTGGGAATCTTGCTAAAAGAGTAAGAATCAAACTTCTTCAAACCGTCGAAGCAATGGCAATTCAAATATTAAAACCTGAACTCTGCATACACTGGACCTGACCTATCTTAACACTAAATACATAATTTTTGTTTCGTCTTTTTCTTGCTTCCATCACTCCTTATTAAATCTCTACCACTTATTACCACTGTTGTTAACTTGATTTTTGTTCAATTTTAATTCTATCTAAGCTCTACTCAACCACGTCAATTAGATTACGTCACTCACCCAAGCTTATTTAATCTTACTTTAGTTTCTAACCAATTAAAGAAATCTATTTTCTAAACTTTACAATATTATTTAATACTTTTAGGTAATGATGATTAATGATGATTGTACTTACTTCAACTGTAAAATAACCTGAAACTGGTTTATGATCACTGGACACGTACTTTGGATGTGATCTATACACAACTGGTTCACAGCCTCTGCCATACCAGATAATTCGATCACAATAGGCCGGTATTCGATTTTTTTCACTAACAATCAAAATTTAAAAGAGGAGACAAAGATTTATAAGTTTAAGAGAGAGAGTGTGTGTGTGTACCATTCATTGAAATGAATGAAAATTAGTGTTGAGAAGTGTCTGACATCCCCAGCGCTTTAGACGGTTTGATCGTGAACCTTCTTTTCACCAGCCTGTTGAAGATGTCAGTAAGTCTAGTGATGAAACATCCAAAAACCAAGTATCAAATTTTTGAGAACAGTAATGTAAAGGAGAAAAATAAAGCATGCTGGCAGAAGTGTGAAAAAGAATCCTAATCAGAATCGTTTCCATCCATTGTGATCAGCACATACTGTTGTTTGACCAACTTACTGCCTCTAGATAGATTGCTAAAAGGTAAAATAAACATCATACAGATTCTTTTACTCCAAACCTTAATCAACATTTCACGGGGAACAGTTCATTTCTCTTATCAGTATTCCTCGAAGATAAGGCATAACCACACTGCAAGCAGTCAGAGACTTGGCGCGTCACAAACAGCATCTCAAACAAACTACAAACCTTCATTGAAAGTTGTCTTCGTTCAATACCACTCAAGATCAGATGGCCAGAAAAGATCAGCAACAAAGATCTCTGGGAGCGAACCAACCAGGAACCAATTGTGAAACAAATAAGCAGGAAGAAATGGAGATGGATTGGCCATACTCTGAGGAAACCATCAAGTGACATCACTAGACAAGCCCTCGAATGGAACCCGAAAGGGAAGCGGCGAGTTGGTCGTCCAAGGGTGATTATGTCGACTGGAAATTGAACCTTGGATCACGAGTGGGGTTCGCGAGTATTCTACCAGTAAACCACCAACGCAATGAATTTATATTTACTTCACCAATACGTTTACATACACACGGATACATCACTAATTCAGCAGCTACTAAAGAACTGACTGTCGTCAATCGATGAAACGTGTAACGTACAACAGCCTTTAGATTAAACTCATCGAGATTTTCAGTATATTAATTGCTGAAGGAGTAAGATTTTCACTAGGTAGAACATTGGCAGGAGTAAACAGGAAGGATTTATAGGATAGATTATAGGCCGTGTCAATAAAATGTCAAAAATTATAATAGTGTCATGGTATGTACTACTGATTTATATGAGTAGCTGGAAGCGCCTCGCGTTGAACAATGGTATCCATAAATTAGATCGAAGTGATTCAAACATCAGACAGCGATTTGCCTCGTATCAGTGACTCAACCCAAAAATTTTAAATTTAGGGAAGACAACGGTTTGAACAAACTAAGACGATGTCATTTTATTATGTAGGTTTCTCGTCAGCCGCATACACCCTGAAAATAATTTATTAAATATATGTAGGGAAAGATTTAGCGTCCACTTGCCATTATATACAGTCCGTCACATTTTGGAAACAGGCTTTCTGATTCTAGTCCATTGCTGAAGATCCGTCTATCTATATCACATTTCACAGAAAACCGCGTGAATATTTCTTGCCACCTAAACATTAATCTTTAAATTGAGATTTAATCTTACTTCTTCATGCATGTAATGGCGCTAGAGGCAATGCTCAGCTTGTTCAGTCTGAAAATAGGACAGTTGAACCCTTAATATTACTTTCAGCACGTTATGATATGCTAAAATATGTCTAATCATTGCCTTCGTCATAGTCTTCGCAAGTTAGTCTGGAGTCCTTGTAGCATCTAGTCATCACTGGTTGTCAGCAGACATCTAATGGAAGGGTATGAATACTGTTCTTGAATATATGTCAGTGGTTGTTTTTTTTCTGGAGATTTTGAAACAGTGGTTGTATGCACCAGACACTTTTTTATCAACGAACCTTACGAAAAATTGAACACATACTTCACATAATAATTTACGAATGGGTGGTATTCATTTTGGTTCAAGAAGTCAGTGATTTTGTAAAACCTGTATTGGCTACCTGGTGACCCTTGTATACAAAGGATTTATGAAAACATTCTAAGACCACTGTCACCCGATTCCATAGCTCCATTCTTAACTAAGCACTTGGTAGACTTTCAGTTCCAGTCTGTTATATTCACAAAAGCATCGTTACCACTTCCCTGTACGATTCGCATTTCTCGATTTTAGCCGTTTCGTTTATTGACCTTGGGATAGAAGTAAGTTCTGATGGGCTGTACTTTGTCGTGCTTACTTTATATGCCGTTTATAGTATTCAGGCTTCCCCGTACAGTCATGACAATGCATCAGATACTACAGTTTTCCTAATATATGCCCGATAGTGCCTTTTCGAAGTAACATACAGTGACAAACTCCTGCTATTATATGGAGTTCCATGCAGGTAGTATTTCGATTTGCTTAGCACATGAATTGTGTTAAAATGTCGTCATTCTCACAAGAAGATTTTTTTTCATGGCTGCTAGAATATGACTAACATTCTCTAAGTACCGACCATCATGTCCTAGGATTGAACATATATCGTGTTGACTCGTGTTCATGAAAAAGCTGTATTCACGCAGTACTATTCGGCTGTCAGCTATCTTCACCAATTGTATATATCTGGAACTGATTGGACACGAGGTAGTAACTAGTGTCATAAATGAGGTCTTTTTTCGGTGCAGACTGAATTCCATCAGTCAAATTTGCAATGTGGCTACCATGCTAGGTAGCTCGCTATTACGGTACACTCTAAATTGTTATTATTAAATGGTTGTAGGTTATTGGCAGGAAGCTTTGCTTAACTTAGGTTTCGTGCTTGCTGACACTCATCAGTCAGCAAGGCTCATTTTTACGGTTGACAGAATTCAGTCTTCACCAAACAAAGGACTAGATGCTTGACACTTGATCAAAGTATCTAATACAGTCCTACAGAAGGTCTGCTGTTAGCCCAAATAGCTCAGTGATATCTTGTCTGACTGCAGCACTGGATGACACAAGTTTGATTCACAGAAGAGACATTAGTTCCTTCTTGGTTGCAGATACACCTTGCTGGCTGTTGCTTGCCAACAAGCACAAAACCTTGGTCCCAGGCTTCCTGCGGTCAACTGCCCCCAACCACCTAATAAAACAAATCTGGAATTACTTAGTATCTCCAGGGTAGCTACGCAGACTCGTCTAGATTTTACACAAACCGTCTGAAGAGGTTTGTTCTTCTTAACAGCTGTTAAACAAAATTATGTTTTTGCTAGTCATTTTCTAAGCTGATCTCTGAATTCCTATTTTGTAAACTAAAAACATGATATTAGGCAAAACATGAAATAAATGTCATCGTTACCTTGAATCATATATGTTAGTATTCACATCAAATTTATAGGTTGGAGCAAAAGTGATTTTCGATTCACGAAAGCCTTGAAATACCTTTTTTGTATTCAGTTGTTTCAAAAGCTGACAAAAAAAACGAAAAGAAGAAAATGGATATGTAAACGTTTTAAGTGTATACAGGATTTCATTATGAGCTGACAGTGGTTAGAGAACCATTGGGAAACCAGCTTGGAATGCTGGACAGCTGTTTCGTCCTAGACTGGGACCCTTCATCAGTGCATACCAAATAAGATTCGAGCTCAAACCTTCCGGTCACAAGACGAGCTTGTAAACCATTCATTCACTGGGACCCAATCCAATTGCCAGCCCATGAATTCTATCTTCTGCCATTTCACGATGTAGTGCGACCACTAGCCAGTGTCATCGGCGAGTATTTGTCCTCACACCTGACCTGCTGTACCCTACTGATCACGACCTCTCATTTGATCTCAGGTTACTACCCAGATTGATATTCACGTGTTGGCTTGCGGGGTTTTGACTGGTTACAGGACTTCATTATGAGCACATATTGATTAGAGAAACATTGGAAAACCTGTATTTGAATAGCAAATAGTAAATACTATGTTCTATTGATCAGTAAAACAATTACGATATGCATCTGAGGACAACAGGATTGATGAAAGTAGACCTAGTGCTTATGCCGATAGAATACAGTGGACATTATAAAAATTCATAAACGCTCAACCGAATTCACTATTTGCAAATTATATTACTCATTTTCTATTGGGTTTTTCATTGTTCACACTCGTTTTTTGCTTATATGCTTTTAAAAGCTTCTACAGGTATATGTCCATATTAATTAAAGAATTATTGTGATTGACAATATTAATGTTTTAAGTAACATTGGATCAATAAGATCAGAAGACTATCGTGCAAAACTGTCTGTCACTTATGATGTGCATCGCTATAGCCTTAAACTGAATTTCAGGAAAATTAAGGAAAAATAATACAGACTATATGAATTTGCTGGTTCCACAGCAGGTAAGCATAGCAATAGTGGCTTAACCTGTTTCTTTTGCACATACAGCTGCCGTTTATACAGAATTGCAACCGCCTCTACTGTTCGGAGTATTTGATACCTAGAGGCTCTTGGAGATTTGTTTGGTACTCCATATACGAAAGCGAAAGATTCTTCAATGCTAACTTTAAAGCCTTTCTGAAAAACGTGGTCTAATATGGAACGATTGATGCTTTTTACTCACTTTTATTTAGCTACACTGCTAGGCATCCCCGAGAACAAAAAAACAAGTTTCTAGAGTAACTGTGTCTCTTATTTAGTGGCCTTTTCAATGACGTACAAAATATCATTCCTTCACCGAAGTTGTTACAATACAAACTACTTGTATCTCTTTATGAGCAGTACACGTTAAATTGCCAACCAGTATAACTTGTTGGTTACAGTCACCTTTTACAATAGGAATGTCTAACCCAACGTAAGTTATCCTGAAAATCCATCATGTTATCATTTATAGCCTATATATGTAATCAGTGATGGATGACTGCAATACTGACTGTAGAACAACTACACCACTAGACTGTATACACCATTTACTTGAAAAAACAAGTGAACAGTTCATAAACAATTCGTATGTTGTGTACTATAGCTAAATAAAAAACTAGAAGTCCAAAGATAAACTGTTAACAGTTATGACTTTTGAAGTGATTGATCAATAATTATTCGAATGTGACATCCACTGACTGATTAATTGACATTTTTATAAAACTTTAAAATTTTTAATATTTCTATGAGTGTGCTTAAATTTTACTGCCGTATTGTTGGTAATGAAATTTAATTTCTTCTTCTTTTTTAAATATTGCTGAGAAGCTCATCTCATTCAACCTATCAATGGGTAAAATATTATCCAGAAACACTGTCCTTATTGATTTGGATGTGTTTTACCTATATCAACCCCAGTGGCTTCATACTGTTCCCTGTTTGTTATCCTTTGAACTCAGTGGAAGGATGTGGTGGGTAGTGAAAACATGATATGAGAAGATGGGATGTAGGACGGTTGTGATGGCTTAACATCTGTTGGTGAGTCATACCCCTTCCCCTCAAGGGTGGGATCTGACAGATCTGCTGATTCAGTGCCTTCAGATATAGTTTTGATTCGAAAGCGTGTTGAAGTTTCTTTGTTCCTACTACCACAGGAATTAATAGGAAGTGATGAGATCTTCTTAGAATCTACTTCTAAAGTATATACTTAGTTGTTGCATTCTTTTCCTCATCTGCTTTGTATCTCTTTTTTCCTTATATTGTTGTTAGGTTATATTTGCCTGGCACTTCTCCTATTGTCAACACTGTGACAACTTTATATTTGAAATTAACAAATGATACTATTAATAAAAACTCTGATTGTTCTTTTTCATTCAGTTTTGATTTTCTCGTTGACTGATTAAACCAAAATACCTTGGCCTCTGCTGATATATGTCGGCTCCAAGTACTGAATCATTCAGTATGTTCAAGGACTAACTTGAAGTAATTTGGTGATTAAATGACTAGCAGCAGAATCCTTGGTGCACACATAACATCATGTTTGGGACTTGTCATCTGGATATACCTGCATTCCCCAGTAAGTGATTTTACTCCCACTGAGGCTGGAACCCAATAGGCATCGTTTCTACCGCCAAAGCGTTAAGCATCCAGTGACAAGTCCCTAATAGGACGAAGTCTGCACCCTGAATTCCACTGCTAGTCACCAGCCATCATACAATTGGTTCTCTATATAACGAGATACAGGATGGAGGAAATATTCTCAACACTTATCATGTGAATGCTGATGATACTACTCACTTATCCGGTCTGAAGTAGGTGGAGCGAGATTTCACTACGCCACCTACTGGCTGAAAGTCAAGTCCTTAACACTTTTTTGCATCCGTAAATCTGAAAATGAACTTTATGAGTAGTATTTCTGTGTTATCAGAGGACACGTAATTCAGAACTTTGACTTTCTTCTGGTGACTCGTTTGAAAATACCGCATAAGACAAATAAACATTGAAATACAGGTTTAGGAAACAAATGAGGCAGGATATTATTAAGTGGTCTCACATTTTCAAAACTTTCCTGTATGTCACCGTCATATGTATACTTCCAATAACAGACAACGAAAAAGAGTACACAAGTTGAAAATGGCTTCTAACTAGAACATCAAGAAACTTCATCTCATGGACTGATTTTCAAGTATTTAGGTTGTAGGGACTCAACCGGTTTCAAAGTTTAATTCACTAGTTACTGAATTCTAACCCGCTGGTTAGATTGTCTATGGCGTTGATCACTAAAGTGAAAATTCTAGATTCCGGCCATACTGAACAGTTAAAGAAAGCAGGACAGACGAGCTGTTCAATGGTCCTTGGTTTACAATGCTTCCCTAGCTAATGTCATTTCATTACGTCTACCGTTAAGTGTCTTTCATACTATACATCGCTAACAGTGTTTGTAAATTCTTACATACTCTTTTACTGCCTAACCTTTTAAAGCATACACCCAACGGGTTATTCGCAAAGCTAGACCTTACTTAACGTAATCACTAGACATCCAAAAGGCCTCAAATTTGAACTCTAAAATGAGAATTAATATTATCAGTGGAAAATGTGAATGATAATACACAATATTTATCACTGTTACTCTACATCTCTTGTTAATTTAATTCTTTCTAAAAACACTTTGAAATAGATGACAAGAAACAAAGTTGATTAAAACAGGAATAATTAACCTACTTCATCATTCCTAAGCAGTGTGGAATACCTCTTCTGTTGGATCAACCTCCGAACATTATCCGAATTCAAACCAGTTATTCGATAGTTCATATCACCAAATACGAAAATTACACTATAGTTGAAGAAAGTAGATCAAATTACCAAAAAGATATAGTGATTAATGAAGCATAAAAAAGTGAACATAAACACGTCTTTTACAGATAAATTTATCGGATATAACACATAGGTATGATATGATTATGAGCAGTAGGTTGTGCTCCGAACATCATCCAGTTATTAATACTTTATCACTGATTATTATATCAAGTAAACTTATGTAATATGAGGTCATTTAGAGAACTATTGAATGCATACTGCTAGATGTGTAAGTGAAGTGGCTGGGCGGACTAAGGCGCTAATTTAAGGCACTAGTCTGAAAGGTTGTGGGTTCGAACTCTACCCCCCCCAATCACATAATCCTCGTGTCTAGTACTCCGTCGTTTCATTGATGATTCTTTAACTAATTTCATTTGAAATCTATCATATCCCTGCAAACCAATACTTGAAAACAGGTCTACAGTGAATAATTTTATATAGACCAGCTAAGTTATAAATCGTAGTAAGTCCTTACAGTTTATACATTGGAAGAGAGATATGTTTCTATTGTTCACAGAATACTCCAAAACCTCACTACAAAATGAGACTAGAACTGTCGACTTTGTCTACACAGACAGTAAAGGCTTTGCATTTAAACCGTCCAACAATTAAAGGTCTAAGTGAATTGAGACTACGACGCACTGTACTGTATTATGACTTGATAATTATATGTTTTGAAGAGAGCGGAAACAAAGATGCCCTACTTATGAATCCCAATATGTACAGAAATCAAGATCGATGGTATTTTACCTACTGACATGTTCTAGCATGCCATATTGGATCATTTTTACGTAAAGATTTCAGCTAGTTCTAAAAATTACGTAGAGTCATTTACCTAATAATAGTGATATATGCTGTGAAATGTGTGCACATATAACATGAATACCTGATGGTTTTTGGTGTTGTTTTGTTCTGTGTGCTGGATGGTTTCAATATTAATATTGCATTGTCTATCCTTCTGGACAGCATCTTTATTGGTAAATTCAGAGTAAAGTGAGCTTTGGGAATTCCCCATGTTTGAAATATTCGTCCATCCTAGTGGTGGCACTCACTGCGATGGTTGTAGATTTAAATGGTCTTAAAGATACATTTGACTTCATCAAATCAGTGAAAGATATCAGGTTGTTTGAAAGATAGATACTCTATCTAGACCTTACTTCCCCCCACTTCACTAGCATTCTCTTTAGTGAGACAATATGCTTCATATTTGACTACAGTTAAGTCCAGTAATGTAGAAATCCCTCTTCCTACCAACGACTTGAAGGAACTACATCTTATATATACGTTTGACATTCATTTCAAAATTCAATGAACTTTTCTACGTACAGGAAGATGGTGTGATCATACAGTCTCTGGCTGGTTCACTCCTAATTATCTGTTTCATTATGAGTTTTACAAACAACATCCTACATCTTTTGATCCGTCAGCTACACCTCTACAAACGATGTGTACATGATACCTTAGAAATTTGTGCGTCTTGATTCTTTGTTAAATATAAGTATGATTGTACAGTCCTTGGAAATGACTCATCGAAAACAAGATTTCTTCGGTGTTACATCACTTTTCGGAGAGTTCAATTACTTAGTTATACAACTTCTAACTTTTCATAACGCTTGTATTTCTTTAGAACCCTTACACAGGTGATGAAAAATGCCCATTACAATTTTTCAAAATTCCATATTTTTTCTTCGTTTCTCTATGTATCCTGATTACAGTTCATTCATTAAATTATTCATCTTATTACGTAACTGTTAAACACCTATTCTACCTTCTTTTCTGTATTGACTAACATTAAAAAATACTTTTTGTAATAAATCGTCACCACTACCCTCTTACTAATCTTCACACCCGAGTTACAATTTGATGATTCATCGCAGTTTTTGAAATATTTGAATGAAGTAAACAACAGATCTGACTCGTCTTTATTCCTTCTGACAAACCTAATCTAGTGGGAAGCCGTGACCAGTAGGGTACAGCAGGTTGAAGATGAGGCAGTAACTCATTGAAAAAGACATTGCGAAACGGTTGCGCTATGTCGTGAATTACCAGAACTTAGAATTCAAGGACCACTGGATCGTGGCTCAATGGCCTACGAGCTTGCCTTGTAACCAGAAGTTCCTGGGTTCGGATCCCGGTGGGTGCGTACTGATAAAGAGTGCCAAACTAGGACGAAATAGCTGTCCAGAACTCCCAGGTTTTCCATTGGTTCTCGAACTGATGTCAGCTCGTGATGAAATCCTCCAGGCAATCAAACCTGATATACACACACATACAAAAATAATTATATATATGTAATTGTGACTGTACAGCTAAATGATTGAATTCGCCGGAAAGAGACTTTTGGACGAACTAAGTGTTTTCTTCTCATTAAGGTCTAAGTGGGGATATTCATAAACATCTTTTGTTTATGACTCAATAAAGAAATTTTCCATTCATTCCTAAATTTACTTATGATTGTATCCACTTGTATTGATGATCATCCTGTCGTGGACCTGTTATTTGACCGCTTGGTTGTGTGACCTTTCCTTTATTGATTGATAAATTTGATTTATGTCCATATGTCTATTAACTGCCAACCGATTTGAGTACCAGGCCTCTGAAAATCGTCTAGTGTTTCTATTGTTTAAGACCTCTACGTTTTCCTAGTCGAATTAATGTCTGTAGTTGTTCACCTGGAATGATATGGACTGATGGACTTATGCCACCGAAGCACCATAACAAGTGGATATAGGTCAAATTTGTCAATCAGCCAACAATAATCTACCCAACAAAAGATCAAATTTCAGGTCAGCAAGAACATCATAAATAAATCTACTGGAAACAACTAGCCACACTATACATAATCAGGTGGGATAAGCATTTAATCCACGATGGATCCCATAGCTCACTTTACAATGAAGTTAATACTGAAGATGCTGTCCAGAAAAACAGAGAAATCCCCTTAAGATTAAATTATGCATTTCAGAGAACACAACAACACATACTCGAAGACTTGCCGGCGAAAACCAACAAACTGGCAGAAGAGCCTGGCAGCAAAGACAGGGCTTCAAGGGAACATAGAGAAGAAGGAGGTGATGAAAATAACCAACCAACCAACAGCAACAACAAGCAGTACCAATCACTTTCAATGGAATAAGTTTGAAATAGACCGCTTTTTTAGCTTATCCAGGAAGCATCGTTTCAAATACAGGTGGAACGAATAAGTACGTCAAAACCAAAATTGGAAAAGCAAGTCAAACCTTCATCACTTTGAAATCTGTTTATAAATCCTCTGCACTCAACATAAAGAACAAAATTAGGATTTTCAGTACCAGTGTTAAGTCAGTCACCTCTTCTATGTGAGTCAAAAATTTCACCAGCGCGTCACGAAAAGCATTTCCCACAGGCCACTGCAGACTTTTAACAACAGCTGCCTTTGCCCGGTACTGAAGATCAGATTGCTAAAATTAGTCGGCAACCAAGAACTCTGGCAACAAACCAACGAATGACCTATTGCTCAAGAAATATTCTGAAGGAAATGGAGATGGATTGGGAACGTACTGAGGAGATCGTTGGGTGACATCGCACACAATGCAGACCTGTGGGTGGAACCTGAGTGGCGAAACGACAAGTTGGGCGTCCGAGGGTGACATGGAAGAGGTCTTATGGCAAGGAGATGAGAGACTATGGGTAATCATGGAGCCAAGCGAAAAGGATTGTGGAGAACAAAAAGGAATGGAGACGTTCTGTTGAAGCCGTATGCTCTACTAAGAACCCAAAACAACAACAATAATAATCAAGGCTGTAGGTTTGTGGAATCACCTGTTCAGTTCACCTGAGTGGAAGACCAGAAATCGTGAATCTTGCTACAGTCAAAGTTTCCTTTTCAATTCCAACATTTCATATTTATCATTATCCCTATTAGCTAAAGTCATGTCAGAAAATCTAAGCTTATTGACTGTAATGACAGTTTAAATCTGCCTGTAAAAGATCACATTTTCTTTGGATATATGTTACATAGGTGTGAGAAAAACTACTTCTTTTTATTGATAATAGAAACACATTATGCCTTGTTTCAAATGGTAGAATAACCACTATAGAGTATTTTAAGCATGCTTTGTGTCAGTTTTTGATGATTAACTCTCAAGTAAAGTTCAAATTTGAGTCACTCGCTATCATACACACACATGCATACGTACGTTTAGCTTTAAGATGCTGAGTAATTTAAACTATGCGTCACTCTTAAGTTAATATCTGTGATTGCTGATTTTACTAAACTACCTTGAAGTAAGAAAGCTTGTCTGATGTAAGCCGAAGAATATATCATATTCCTTTGGTTCCTAGTGGAACATATGCTCTATGTAGCAGATCTCCGTAGCAATTGGTTCTCTGACATCACTTCTGATTAGTACTACAACTGCCAACAAGCTTCCATTGCCTCTTAAAATTATCTTATCAGAGCCATCCTCTGACCCACATCCACCCCGTCACCTTCAATTTAGGTTCCGCTACAGGGACTGATGTGTGATATCATCTGGAGGTCTCCTCAGAGTATGTCCAGTTCTCCTCCATTCCCCTCTGCATACTTGCTAAACATTGGGCTTTGACTGGATAACTGCCAGAATTTTTTTCTTATTCACCCTACCCAACAAGCCATTTAAACTTCAATATCTAACGAAGGCATTAATCGGAAAATATATTGCCTATATATAATCTCAATGTAGACTTCATCATAAAACGATATCAATAATACAATCACTGAAAGTCCGGACGTCTCTTTCTGCCTAATTTGGAACTCATTAGCAGTATACACCTACTATCCTACTAGAGATCGAACCCGACACCACTTCCAAAGCTGAAGCTGAACAACTGCCCGATGCTCTCTGGTTTTCAATAATTCTCCAAAAGATGATGGTACGTGAAGAGAACGATAATGTAAGTGATCAAAATACCTTCAATATCCGAAATATATGAAGCCATATGAAACTCGAATTTTATAAGTAAGCAGACCACCGAAAAAACAAAACAACTGTGAATATACTTCATCGGTTCTGAGTGTATATCCAGTCTTGACTTACTCATGAATTGATATGTATGACTTTCTAACCGGAAATGATAAATGCTTTTGATTTATTGGTAATAACAATGACATTTTGCGTACAATCTCTTTGAAATCTTCATTACGACGTTTAAGTTTTTCTTTACCAGCAGCCAAATGACAATTTACAAAACACAATGAAGAATTGAATATAGTTAGCCTTAGGCAAACACCACCTTTATTACCCTTAAATAAGTAGGAAGAAAGAAGAAAAGGATCAAGAGTAAACTTTATGAAATGTAACTAATAGAATTAAATTCGCTATTTACGAATAACATAGTTAGAAGTGAAAATTCCCCACGATTTTATTAAGGAAATCTAAAGTGTTCAGCTTAACACTAGAAATAGCATTCAAGAAACTAAGCATAGAAGCATGACGAAATATGCTAATACTACTGCAACTAACATACTTCTGCTACTGGTGAGACCGGTCGTCCAGTGTTTAGGCCACTTCGGTCTAGTTGACATGATTATCTTCCAACTGCTCGTATCAGTCAGTAGTTGATAGGACCCAGCATAAAGTAGTATCTCATCTTTTCCCCCGAATCGAGTGATTTATCTTGCGATGGAGCTACTATGTTAATGTATCATTTCTCATCGTCTTCTGTCTCACCTTGGTCTTTGTCGGACCACCAACCAATCAGAACAGACATTTCTAGCCAACAAGAACAATACATCCTCATGGTTGTGAGCCAACTTTATTGAAGCGATGAAACCCTAGTCAGTAGATTAGTTTGTAAAATATAGACGAGCGAGTTGATTATCTGAATACCGTACACTAGACACCTGTGAATTCTCTTATATTCTTTAAAGCTCACTAATTATTTACTGGAGTTACTTAACAAACCTCACTGTTAAAGACTTCACTGACGAGTATCGACTGCGACTAGTTTCTTTCTGTGAGTACACAACATATCTAGGAGGTGCTCTCACTGCCGAAAACTTCTTTTACTAGAATTAAAATGTTTTCTGGACTACCAATAGTTAAAACTTGGGATAAAACCCTTAATGGAAAATATTCTAAGCTCTTATTTCTTAAATATATTGAAATTTTCACTCACCCTCATGATTTTAAGGTTTACTTACTATCCGTTGAATTTAACATGAACCTTTTGTAATGTGAAAAATGTGGAATTCAGATTTTTAGTACTTGTGACTTGATCAGTGACCACAGAAGATTTCTTCACAGATTTTAGGAAATTCTAATCACATAAAATGGTTTGCTCAATGCTTTCATGGTCTAGTAATAACCTAAGTTGTTTATAAAATCTACTCTAATCACAGAAACGTATTGGAATACAGCCACAGAATTGGCTTTATGGCTAATGTAATTAAAAAATTTCCATTCATACATTTAGAAAACAAACGACATATCGGGTAGAGAAATATATTCCTTTTCAACGAATTTCTCATCAGTGTAGATTACCAAATGACATCAGTTAAAGAACCATCTAACCAAGGATGTACTATCTTATGGTAGAGTTATACATCGCGGATTCGCAGAAACTATGATTTGAGCGGCCTTTCAGTTCAGTTTCAATGGTTGAATGGCTAGAGGGTTCCCCTAGTAATCAAAAAGACCTGGTGGAATCATGCTTGCCTACTACTGAAAAGTCCAGAACCAGGAAAAACAGCCTCCCAGTAATCCCATGTTTTAAATACTTCTCTAAATAATATTGGTCTGTGAACGAGCTCGAAGTCATCAAATCTCTGCAAGCAAACACTTGAAAATATAAATATTTCACTGTAAATATTAAGACTCATGTCTTCAACTTTTGCAGTGTAGTAAGAAAGAAGTGTTGATACCGTCTTTGTTGTCCGATTTAAGTCTTAATCTACATTCTTGTCGTAATGTACAAAATAAGTGCCCAAGAAAATATAGATATTAAGTTAGAAAAGCTACCGAAAGATGATTCAGCTAAGAAAACTTTCGCTGCTAAGTCTGATCATCAAATGCCATACATTTGTATTGACAGATATTAAAAGTTGGTGAATCTATAAAAAGGTCAACACAAGCCCCTTAAAATAGGCTCCAACAGCTGTAATTAAGCCGAGTATGATTACATAAAAGTGGAAGTAAAGAAAAAACTGTATTACTGGACTAAAATAGAAACAGCATTCGTTTTGTCTGACTTAAAAGCCTAAGGGACATCTGCTTGAGGGCCTTCCCAAACTAGTTTATGGAGTTACGTTTTTAAGAAGGTACTACCACTGGCGACAGACATTGTTGGTCAATATATACCTTTTTGAGGCGTCAATCCCTATTGACTTCTCTCCCCTGAGTCCTAACTCAGGGGAGAGGCAGCATGGCTCTCTTTCTTGTCATCTGAAAGAAATACCTTAATGCTGCTACACCCCCACTGTCCACCGATATGACTTCACTCTCAAAATCTAAACATAGTGTAAACAAACTTACATTGTGATGATAACTGCTAATAGTCTAACCGCTCTTCAAACGGCTTTCTAGGATGGTAACACCAGCAGGAATAATTGAACAGCAATTTTAGCTCATTTCATTAACGCAACATGCAAACCCAACCACCAGTATTTACGAAATAGATAGTATACGGGAAATATTTATAATGCAAAGTATATGACGGACACACCATGAAAATAATAACAATATTAAAGATGTTGATAAGTCCACTTTTTTAAAACCATATTAAAAAACAACCATGGTAAAATAGAATATTTCGGGTGTTTCTTATGCGTATTCCGTTACGATCAATGATATCGCTCAGTTAACCAGGCTAACTTAGTTGGGACGGCTTTCAAGCGAGGAACGCGGTGGCTGAAAGTCAAGTGCATAAGCTGACGAGCTTCACCTCCACTTTTACGTGTGTAACTGCAGTTTTAGTTTATGGGTTGCCCAAACCACTACATAAATAGCCAAACCGTGTTGTTTATCGACCAGTCAGCTTAAATTTATTCGAAATGTTGGCTGTAGTAAAGCTGTCCATGAAGTATTAGACAACTGAGCTAATTGTTCAATCTAACATGTGATATTCACTTACATAACATGACTTGAATCTTCGCTTGTTAATGAGCATATCAGAATATACATTATTATGCTCTGAAGATTGAATGATGTAACCCTGTATTGTTTTCGTCCGTGGTTAAAATCTTTAATGGTGAAAGCCGAACGTAGAGCTGTCAGTATATCAATTCTAGAGCACATTATTATCTCTGATCATGAAAGATCAACAGAGGCTTCATTTAGAGTAATATATAAAGTAAGGTCAAGCTGTTCAAAAGACTCTCACTTATATCTTATTCATGCAGCTGAAGCTTTAGCAATCTATAAAGAAAAACCCTAACTTTGTGTTTAGCAAGGTCTCATCTTACCTCTTATACCACCACAGCCTTAATGTTAATTTCATTTTTCATGCATTGTTACACAATAAATTTCACGTAATTATTTTGTATTTTCTCATTTTCTGTGACCCACTTACAAATCATTTTCCTTTGTTTCCCATCAGTTATTTACGAATGATTTTTCATCACTTAACTAGTTAGTCATAGCATTTCTCGTTACGTAAGACTAATACTTCTCACACAATGTTACTTCTTATTCAGTCTGATTTATTTTGTTACTAAATGACAATAACGTCGGACTTTTATTGTCAAATCACCTTGCATATATGAAACCCCTAAATAACTACACAGCCTTGTAGGGAATTTACAAAATGAGATCTTTTCGCTGACTTATTTGTTCAAAATCATTGAGGTCCTAATATTATCAAAATTTCTAGTAATATATGATTGGAAGATGTTTAGTTATAAAAGGCGTTCTTCGGTTGATGTAGGTGCGAATGGGATCCCAGATGTACGTTCCGTTATATTTGCAACTTGTCATTTCGTTACATCTGCACCCTAATTAGTAAGTATATTCCGAATGAGAATAGGAACTAGTACACATCTTTCCAAATGCCAAAGCCTCATCCACCAGGCTACGGAGACACTTGAACCGTGTTATGCATTATCAGTATTAACTGTTATTCACTGAAATTATTTTGAATTTCCAGCTCATTGCATTTTGTTTATTATTTTTAAAAAGAGTTTAAAGAACTTATTATCTAACGACTGGATGCGTTAGCTGTCGTTGAAATGGGTTATCTTTAAAAATTAATCCAGTATGTATGTGTGTGCCATTGTCTGCAGCATCTGCAGAAATTGCTTTTAAAAATATGTTACACTGGATTATTTGTTAAAGGCACTTTCCACATAATGATATTTTCATAATGGCAGCTAATTTCCACTTTTGAATTCATATTTATTCGTTGGTAAGACTTGCTAACATATCAATTTCTATCTTATTTTTTTTTATTTTTCTGTATGTTCGGCTGATTTTATTTATTTAAATCTGTGTATACTGAGCGGAAATAATTGTTTATAGACAGGATTACAGAAATGATTTGAAGACAGTGATAAGATATAACTTGCATTACATTAAATTATCTTCTAGTGAAGTGACAGTCACACATTTAAACCTTCCCTTCATTGGTCTCTTCAAGTTCAGTGATACAAAATGATTAGAAGTGTCAAGAGACGCGGAACCTATTTCACGGGAGCTTTGTTAACTCCGTCGTCCTAAGACATGGTGGCCAAACTATGCAACGAATTAATATCAACCGAGCTGTCTTCCTTCTTGTTCAGCTTGACTCTATTTCGTCCAGATGATAATTGAGATGATAAGGTTATCTTAAATTATTAGTATATATCATCCTTAAGTTTTATTTCACTATAGCTTTCCTACTGCAGGACTGGTGATGAAAAAAGGTGTATTTAAATTGGTCTATAGCTAGTTTTACTAGATGTTATAAGTTGTACGGAGCTGACGAGAACCAACGAAATAAAATGGATCCATATTATTCTGCAACAATTATATCTCTCTTTGTTGACGAGTATTGCCTAGTAATGATGATTTAGTAATAATTACATTTCAACGATTCTTTTACACACAATGATAAGCTTTTGATTTGAAAATTAAAAGGAAATGCGTCGGTGGCATAGCGGTTAGGACGCTCGCCGACCATGAACATGGTGCAAGGTTCGATCCCCGGCCGACGCACTCCTTTACCTCGCTAAGCCAGAAATAATGCTGGTAAAGAGGAAAGGTTGGGCATGAGGCTAGCAACCCCATCCTATAAAAATTAAACACTGCTACAGAAACTTCAAGCCACTAGGTTGAGGCCCTATGTTCCACTGGGAACGTGAAGGAAAAAAAGTATGATTCAGGTGACTGAACCTTCTTAAGTGGCTAGGATGAGAAATATTTCCCAAACAAACTTTACGCCTATTTTAATAAATCAACGCATTTCATCACTTTGTAAAAACTCTTAAACAATGGACCATTCGGTTTAAAGAAAGATTAAACCGATGACCTCCATTTCAGCAACTGTCACCTATTGCATCATTACAGTCTACCAAACCGTTAATATCCCTGGTAGTCTCATCAACGAGCTGAGAAAGATGTCTGTCACTACTATTTTATTGTTCTTCTCACAGTGAAATTTGATCGCAAATTTTTCATTGTCAGGCCTACTATCGTCTTAACATCACCTGAATGATACTAACATGATTTCATTATTGTATCAAACTAAAAACACTTTCCAAACTTTCTTCTCATCCCTTTGCATCCCAAGGGGAACATAAGGCTTCAAGCTTCTGAAGTTTTAGTAGCGATGGAGTTCACTATCTAAAGAAGTAAGTCCACTACCATCAGGTCCAGTCTTCGCTCTCCTATGGGCATACTGTCCGCTAATAAACGAGATGAGGTTTAGGAATGCATCAGCCACGTGCGCACTAGATGAGCAACCTACCCCTGAACTATCAACGCACCGGATAATTAGCATTAACCAAAATCTTTTCTTGGTATATACTGTTCATCAAATTTCTTTTTTTTACGAAAGAAACACTTACCATTACATTCCAAACTCCAGTTGGCACAACCTGATGAGAAACTTCATGACGACGTAGATGAACTGACAATTTAGCTGATATGTACACTATCATCATAATACCAGCTAGACGAACACGTCTTACTCTCAGGTATCCACCACCAGTATGCTGGTGCCATTGGCCTGCAAATGTATTACCAGTATCAGTTTTATCAGTAAATCTGATGTTGGAATTCGGTGGTTTCAGTAAACCACCTAAGGCTTGTTCTAACTGTTGAATCCATAAGTCTTCTGGTCCAGAAGAACTAGTCTTATTCATAGTAATACCTCTGATGCTTAAATCCAATTCTTGTAGTCTAATTCAATAGAGTTAAGAAAAAAAATACAACACAAAAACAAGACAAAAATTAGAATTAGTGTAGATGGCAGTCGGAAGAAATCAACCGTACAACTAGAAATATTTATATATACCAGCTTACCCAAAAACATAAATATCAGCCGGTGGTTGGCCTTCAGGAGGCATAAGCCAATCATCTAAATTCACACTGCTAACATTTCGAGCATTCACATTCCATGTACCAATACAAATGGTAATTCTTTCAGTCTTACGACTTTCATAGGTTAAACGTTTCTCAATATTAGGATGATAAATTTTCGGCTCCACAAATCTGTTGAATAAGTAGGGAAAATAAGTGTATTACAGTGTTCAAAAAGTACGACGATTATTAAAGATCAGTACTTTAACTGAATAAAAAACATTCACCATGTACCAACATTTTGTAAATTTCTCACAGGTGCGTGAAGAATACTTTATGTCTACACAAAAGTGTATTATTATAAAAACTATTTTTGTTCCCTTGAGGTCCGACAGGTACATAGGGCTTCAACAGTACATCTACACTTTGCTCTATTTTCTGCTGTCATCTTCAGCTGGGCACAACATTGCCCATAATCTCTCATCTCTTCCTAATCATTTCCTATTCGAATTCCATTCAGCTGATGACCTCGACTGAACGCGATGCTATTCATCGATCCCCTTAATAAATGCCCGACTCATCTCCATTTTCTCCTGTATATTTAGTGACCAATAAGTTCTCGGTTAGTTTCTTCTCATAGTATCTTGCTGCTAATGCTGGCTGACCGGCTGGCCATTCAATCTTCAATATGAAGGCGGCGAAGACAGCTGTTGATAAAAGTCTGCATTAGCCTGTTGGAAATGCCTTTCGTGACGTACTGGCCGAGTTTCTGATCCATATAAAAGAACTAACTGAGTTGATGTTGGAGTTGAGAATCCGAATCTCGCTCTTTATGCTGAGTTAGTGTAGAAGATTTCCAAACTGGTTTCAGACTGATGAAGGTGGCTGTTTTTGACATATTCATCCGTTCCACCTGTGGTTAAAACAATGCCGCCTAGGTTACATAAGTGAAGGAATTAACCTCTGGCAAACCTCTCCTGTTGATGGTGATTAGTGCTGGTTGTTGCTGTTCATTGGTTATCTTCATCACCTCCATCTTCTCCACGTTCACCTGGAGTTCTGCCTTCTCTACCTCTTCTGCGAATCTTTTTTTGTTTTTGCCCGCAATTCTTCAAGCTTGTGTAACATTAGACATATATCATTTGCGAAATCCAGATCTTCTAGAGTCTTCTTGTCGGTGGTCCAACGTATTACTGTCTTCTTGCTACTCACAGTCTGATGTAAGATCCAGTCCACTACAATAAAGAATATCATCGGTGATAATAGGCAGCCTGCCTAGTCTCACTCCTGTATTCACTTGAAAGACTCCACTGAATTTTCCGTTGTGGATCACGTGATACGTGTCAGCATAGAAGTCTATAGCAATAAAAAATACAGAATTAATTGTATCCGTTATGTTACCACTTTCTTAATTTCAGTTTCTTAGTGGCCTGCTTAAATCACTGAGTTACCTCAATTTTCATCTAGCATAATGCGTCTACTCTTTTTTCCTTTTCTTTATTTTGTTTTAGTCTTTCAGTTATGGCCTTGCATTGCAACATGAACTCACAAGAATTTTTAATAGCAAAATGAAAAACAAAAATAATATTACACGGTATAAGTAACCAATATTAATAATATAATAATAGCTTTGTTCCAGACAGTACTTTTGCTACATACATGGAATTTTCAGCATGTAATACAATAGTGCATCTAATTTTCTCATCATAGGGGTAATGATTAAGACAGGGCATTTTTATTGACAATATTGTTCAGTAAAAATATGAATATAAAATTAAATCAGGTGAAAATATTAGCTACAATGTAACAATGAGAAAAAAAATACCGTTTACTTAAGGTTCCTCAGTAAGTTGGTAATTTCCTGTCTTACAGTTTTCTCATCACATAAAATGTGTGCTAAATGAGGTATTGTAGAGTTTCTGAACTTAGTAGTCAGAGCATACAGTCTTCTACAGTCACTTCTAGTTTTACCCAGTGAGATGCAAGGAGAGAGCTATGCATAGAGAAGATGCTCAGAGTCTGATAAGATAATACTAGCTAATTTCTTGCAGGAATCCGTGTGTATATCTACAACAGCATTAACAAGTTGGTTAAGTGACATCCCACTCGCCCTACTTACAAATTTTAGTGCCTTACTCAGTGCAACAAACTCTTCCTTAAATAGCCCAGGAAAGACTAAGGGGAAGCAATAAAGAAGAATGGGTGGAATACAAGAATTAACAAACCTAGAAAGTGGAGACTGCCTGAACTTCCTTACGTAGAGCAATAAACGAAATTTCTTTCTGGAAACTAACATGATGTGGGAAGATCAGAAGAGGTCACAGGAAGTACGCAGTCCAAGGTATTTAACATTCGATTTGCTTTCAACTTCTGTGATGTATGTGATAGTGGATCCATGCGAACTAATCAGTTCATGTAAGCCGCTCTTGCGTCTGAAAGTAAAGTTAACCACCTGACATTTGGAGGGATTAAGCTTAAGACCATCGGACAAGGACCACTGACTAATTTCAGATAAAAGGTTATTCATTTTAGAACAGTCTGACTGAGAAGTCTCAGGCATACAATCACTCACATCACCAGCATACTTAACAAAATTGGCCTCGTCAGGATGGAGCAAGTCATGTAAGAAGAAGGAAAAGAGAAAAGGAGAAAGAACAGCTCCCTGAGGAACACTAGCTTGAGTAAAGGAAGCAGTGGAGGACCTCCCATTGTAAAAGGTGCACCGCTTCCTATCAGAAAAATATAAATGAAACCCCTTATTAGTCCAGAACTGTGATTGTATTGCAGCAAGCTTGTTTAACAAAAGAGGCCTAGGTACAGAGTCAAAGGCAGGTGTGTAATCTAGGAAGGCACACCGAACATATTTGACACCTCAATATAAACTAGAGACAATATTATGACATTGGACGACAGTCTTATAGTAGCTCTTTAGTATCAGCAGCGACAATAAAGTTCAAAAAATCCAGAAAGTGTCAAAGTGTAAAACAATTATATTAATGTTAATAGCTAGAATTATAAGTTTGTTGAAATACTGTCACCGTACATTACGAATAGGAGAGGATAAAAGAGCCATTTATTTTACTAATAACATTGTAAGTCGTAGATTTCATGCTTTACTCTATCTCTATGACATAAAACGCGGGTCATATATGAAATCGTCGAGTTCTTGTACTTGGCTTTACGAGCAAATAATCTTTTATAATGACTTAAGATCCTACCTGACGATATGTGAGGGGAAACTTATGAATGAAAAGGGTTTTGAGAGTGAAACAATATAGATTTAGACTATTTCATGCATGTGTTTGGGTGCCTGTGGACTACAGTGGTCTCAAGCCAACTTAGTGGCACACTACCATCCCTAGTGACAACCTTCAATACCCTTAGGAACATGACATAGTCCTTTTTGAGTAGCCCAAGAGAGACTAAGGGGGAGCAGTAAAGTACAATAGGTAAGATGCAAGAGTTAACAAATTGTAAAAGAAGAGGTTGAGTGATTCCTGATTGTTTTAACTTCTTCGTGTAGGTCAGATGGAACACTTTTCCAGAAGCTAACAAGATATGGGATGACCACAAAAGGTCAGAGGATAGAACTACCCCAAGGCTTTTTATACTTGACTTAGTTTCTACTTGAATGCCCTCTATGCTACAAGCATCATGTGAATGGATCAGTTTTTGTAGATCACGTTTATGACTGAAGGTGAAGTCAACTGTTTGTCATTTAGAGGAATTCAAGGGAAAGACCATTTAGCTTAGACCACTGGCTGATATCCGACAAAAATCTGTTAAGTTTGGAACTATCAGATAGGGACGTAACTGGTAGCACGACAGTCAGATCATCTGCCTATATAACGAGGATGATTTCACTCGAAAAAGGAAGGTCATGTTAGAAGGAAGACAAAAGAAAGGGAGAGAGAATGGCACCTTGAGGAACACTGGCTATAGTTAGCAAGGCAGAGAAAAATTTGTCTTTATATACAGTATAGTGCATTCTGTTCGACAAATAAGAATGCAACTAGTTAACAGCCCAATAGTAAAAGTAAAGTGAATTGCCTTATTGGTCTGCATTACAAAGTAATAAAGTTATGAAATAATTATTAGGGAAAATGAAATATGATAAGTGTTGTGTATAATGAGATTTTTATCACTTACAACATTCCCACAAATTCATTCATCAAATTAAACAGTATCTCTTAATATGTGTGTAAAACTTGGGCACTGTGGTAGTAAGTAATTCCATATTAGTTTGTTTATTAGATATATCACACAGTGAAACAGTATTATTTACTGGATGACGTTTCGAACAAAATTTATTGTTCATAATCAAACAGATATTTAGACTTCCGATCATCCCATCCAATGTCAGTAAAAATGGGATTGGTGAAATGTTGAAATGACAGAGCACAAAAACTAAGTAGTACCAAGGAAAATCTAAAACAGGAACTGATACACATAAAAGAAGCCTTGAAACTTAATAATTACGCGGATAAATTAGTCAGGAAATATATAAGGAAATGCAAAAATAAAATAGATAATGATAGTAGCGATAGTGATAATAAAAATAATAATAATGATAACAATAATAAAGATAATAATAATAGTGATAATAATGATAGGAATAAAAATGGCATTTAAACCTACAAACTCAATTAGAAACAAGCTTTGTCGGTTAAAGGATCCTATAGAGCCTTTAAAACAAAACAATTTAGTTTATCTAATACCCTGCAATGATTGTCAGGTCAAATACATAAGTCAAACTAGTAGAACAGGGGCAGTCAGACTAGCTGAACATAAAAACTTAGCAAAATCTAGATTGGTTGATCCAAATAAGATAAGAAATCTGGAGACCAGCTCAGCTATAGCAAACACTACATACAGTTACACACAACCATACAATACGATGGATGGGATAAAATGACAGTTTTTAAATCTAATGTAACAGGGTGGAGGTTCATCAACCTGAAACCAATCTGGAAATCTTCGTCACTCAGCCTGCATCAACAACAAAATTCGGATTTTCAATACAAACGTCAAGTCAATTTGCTTTACGGATCAGAAACTTGGTGGGTCACAAAGAATATTTTCAACAGGCTGCAGACCTTTATCAACAACTGTCTTCGCTCCATACTGAAGATTAGATGGCCGGAAAGAATCACCAACAAGAAGCTATGGGAACAAAACAAAACAGGAACCAATCGCCCAGCAAATATGCAGGAGAAAGTGGAGATGGATCGGACACTCGCTTATGAGGCCGTTGGGTGACATCGCGCGTCAGGCCAGTGCTCGAGTGGAACCCGAAAGGGAAGCGGCGAGTGGGACGTCAGTGCAAGGGTGACATGGAGGAGATCGTGTGAGGAGGAGATGAAACAGTATGGAATAACATGGATGCAAGTGAAAAGTACAGCAGAAGACAGAAGCAAGTGGAGGCGTGCAGTTGAAGCCCTATGTTCCACTAGGAACCCAAGGGAACAATAATAATAATAATAACAGGGTGGAGGGAGAGATTGATAACAGAAGCCTTGTTTATCGAATCAACTGCAAATACGTGTAATAGGAATGATTCATCACCTGTCCAGCCAGATATCTTTAAAATTTTACCACGCCTACGACAAAAAGGAGAGAAAAAAGAAAACTATAAAACTCAAGTTTCAAAGCTGTGTAATTACAATTGATATGATTATGAACAATAAATTTTGTTCGAAACGTCATCCAGTAAATAATACTGTTTCACTGTGTGATATACCTAATAAACAAAATAATATGGAAGTATCTCTTAATATTTTCGTATTTCACACCTGGAGAATTTGTAAACTATGAAGTATATCCATATATTCGAGGATGAAATGTGCTCCCTGGATTCTGCTGTTAGCTACTATCAACTTAGTAACGTTACTTCAACTTTAAGATATCCTTGAAGCATTTCAACCAGAAGCTAACATTTCTGTAGGTTTCAGATTGACCCTAAGTAATACTTCTCTTCGAAAGGAAGGAGTAATACGGTGATCAGATTCAATCTGTGAGTAAACCATAGATGGTTATACATCCTTTTATAAGTATCTCTAATTCCTACATCATTGGTCATATATATATATATATATATATATGTAGCTGTTTCCTTCTGTAAATATACTTATACCGATACTGATAAAAATACTTTTGGTCTAACGTCATTGTGAGTTCCCGCTTAAGTAGTGCGAGATGGTGGTGGGAGCAGGTAGCTGAGGTGTAATGTTGTTGGCGTGGACAAGCGGTATTCTTGGTCAGCTCGGTGTCCCAACTCAACTCAACGTATTGCAAAAAAATATAAAAGGGGTCATGCCATAACATTTTCTCAAAACTCTTTTAATTTATTCTCTAGTGATAAAATTAACTTTACGTTTAGAGCTTACCTCTTTATCATTATGTTATTCAGACAGTCTGCTTGTGTATGATTATATCCATTTATACAAACTAGCCAAGAAAAAGACGTTCACCTATCAAGCAACCTTTAAAAATCTGAATCTTTCTTGCAAACCACTAACGAGGCCATCATGAAACTCTTGAATGTTTAACATAGAAAGTAATTATGTTACTATTGAAAAATTAATCACAGGTAACTTACTGTCTATTTTCAGGTGAAGAAGACAAACGTGGATCAGAATAATTTTGAGATTTTGTTAAGCCCTAGAAGTAAGCATAGGATAAATTTAAATGTGAAATGTAATCAAACCAAAATAATTATTATGCTATTCGTCAGTTATGCAATGTGAGCTAGAGTTCCCTGCCAACTACTCTTAGCCGTCTAACGTCAATCCGAAGTGAACCACGATGGCTAATCACCTAACCTACTGACAATTCAATCAACCATAATAGTTAGAAAACATTAGTCGTTGGTTTATAGTATAACCAACGGTGTACCAGCCACAGTTCCGCAGAAGGAAAATCGCGACTATAGTAGCTAAACAGTAACACATTCAACTACATTTACTGAGGATGCATTTTCGAATCTACGATTCCTTTGAGAATGCAGGTGCAGTCTGATGATGAGTGTCATTAGGCTAACAGTTTGGGTTCAAGGTTTTCTGTCCGCTACCCAGAAAGTCAGCTAGAATCTGGATGGCTTCAAATAATTCAGCTATTTTGGCTGCATCATACATCACAGATAAACCACAAACGGGTGAGATGGCCGTTCGGTGTTTGGATCATTTTGATTTCTCTGGTAAGCATTGACATTTGACACGAATGGCTTCAAAATACGCATTATCGACACGTCACCTGATTTATTAACTATTATTTGTGGTATCAAGTAGACTACATATAATGATGTGGAAAATTTTAGTTTGCAAAGGAAAATTGTGATAAATTCTCACTTCAAACTCTTTTAATTTGGAAGTTAAGGATTTGGTTTCATGATTAAAGGGAGACAGCCAGAGTGTAGTGGACAACTCGAAAGATAACCATCAAGCAGTAACAGTTTAATGATGATGAATAAAAAGGATTAAATTGCCACGAGGAATTCGACTCTTCATAATTCTTCTAGATACAATACTAATAACTGGCCAGTAGGAGTTAGCTGATTCAGTTGGGAAGAGAAATACAAGGCTTCTGGTCTGCTTTCTTCTCTTTTTCTTGATATACTTTCACTGCATTACAAGTTTAATTGTAGAAACTTCTTATAATTTTCTAACTTCCCATTAGGATTTATCAGTGAGCTATGATGATGATTTGTTAACTGCTGTTCAGCATTGTTTAATTCAATTTGGACTTTACCGTCGATTGTTTGGATCGAAGTGCTCAGTAGGAACACTGTCACTCACTGAGGAATGCGGATACATTCAGATAACAAGTCCCAAATAGGAAGAAAGGAGCATCCTGGATTATACTGCTAGTCACCATCCATCAAACTACTACCCAGTATTTTTTAAAGCTCTAATGAACTAAAGAGTACTGAAATTAGCAATATAACTATATACTTTGATTTTTCAGTTTATAAACAGCTGATACGGTACCGAAGAAAGAAAATGGATCCGTTTAAGCCTCATTCCTTCTCTCTTATTGATCTTTTCTAGTTCATAAAATAAAATTCGTGCATGCCATCTAGTAATGTGTTACTGCCATTCAAAGGTGTCCATCATTTCAAACGTATACCACTCCAATGACACTATGAAAATTTTGTTCTATAAAAGTTTTGAATTCCCCGTTATTTAAATTGACTATACTGAACTGCTTCTTCTCCGTTAGCTTGTCGGTTCATACCAGAGATGCTCCAATGGTACTTTGAGACCAAACTGATGCCACATTCTATGTTTTTGGTTGCGGTTAGCAACGGAATCAAAGACACACGTCTCCTCAAATTTTAGATCCGTCAATTAGACGCACTTGCAACCTAGTGAGGTCTGGTGTTCCCAGTGAGACTTGGACCTAGACGTCAGCAATCAAATGACATCAAGCTGATATCAATGAGTAATAGGGCGTATGTACTAAGAGGTGATGTGTTGACAACACACAAATCACAAGTGATACTTGTCACGTAAGAATTAGCCTTCATAGCTCACTAGTCTGACTGTTAACTCTCCTTTATCTCAATTAGCCGGCAGTAAGCCCCAAAAAAGAGGAGGTTAGGCATGAGGCTAGTAACCCCATCCCGTAACAAAAACCACTACTGCTACTGCAACTTCAAAGCTCTACCTTGAAGCCTAATGTTTTACTGGGAACTCAAAGGAATAAAATAAATAATGGCAATAACCATCCTGTAAACGACTCATGTACACAATCTAGTCCTACAGGAATTCGACTGTACCCTGGATACAGTTTTAAACAGAAGTGACAGCATAATCTTCATAATGTTGTATGTACCTCTAACCGGCCAATGCTGAAAAGCACAGCTATCTATTGACTGACTCTTCTCAATATCAAATAAAGATTCTCATACACGAAAAGTACTGCTGTCAAAATGTATTTAGTAGCAAGTTATAAATAAATGACGGCGTACATACATCACTATGTGTTATATTCCGTGAATGATGATCAGTTTTTAAGATATTGTAAGAATTCACTTTTTTATCCAATAATTTCATTGTCTGTGAAGGTATTTCTGGTTTTCCTTGTGATGTGGATAAAGAAGATTTACACCGACGTAATTTAATCAATCGCTTGGTTACTTTCCGCTTTGTTCGAACATATTCATTAGGAATCGGTACTTTGATATCATCTAAGACTGGACAACTGCTAGTTTTTTCGTGTAGAGAGGAAAATGTTTCCTCAGATATATCGTGCATACTTGTATGAATGCTACCAGAATCTGAAGTAACTAAACCACTGGGATCGGTTGAAGTTGTGGGAAGAACTATTGATCCTCGTTTTCCGGAAAAGCTTGAAATATAAGAAATAAAATATGAATAAATCATTGGCATTAAAGAACATTTTGAAAGAAAAGAATTGTGATGAAAATGGCACGCGAAATGTAACAATCTAGTTTCTATAGTATAATATGGAATCATATGAAAAGATTTCTTCTTTCTGCAATAACCTGGTTTCCGAAATTTTTTCCTCATTTACACACTGGTGTACCTTAAATATCCCTGACACATACTTCGAAAATAAAGTAGCTCAGTTTATAGCGAGATTTAGCATTTTGCATTAAAGTTATCGATTTCACTGAGCCAAGAATACTTACTTTTCAAGATAAATTCGTCACTGTCCCTGGAAGAAGCTCCTGCTACACACAAACAAGACCCTGAACTGTGTATACAGAAGCGGTTTATCCAATCGCCTTAACTACCGTGACTTTTAACACTACCTTCTTTTCTTAGTGATACTCATCACTTATTATTTTCTAGATTACGTAATTTATTATTTTGCTAAATAATGATATGACTAACTGACCCTTACGGGCGATTCCCTGACCTTTTACAACACTACGTGACCGTAAAGCTTCGAAGTGAAGTTATGAAAAGAATATTTTTTGTTGACCTATATCTTTTTGTGAGGATTTTATTTGTATGCTATTTTATTCTTAGGCAATATTTGGGTCTAATTTGAAGGAAAAAGCTGAAAACCACCCGTTATACGTAAAATGATCGAATCACTGTCTGAGATTTGTGAAGAAATATAGTTCTACAAACATCATTTAAGTGGCAGATAAAGTTGACCGATGCCTACTTATTCTTTCCTTACCATAACACTATTCATTCCTCAAAGTGAAGGTGTTTTTTATCAATTCATTTGACAGCACTTATGTTTACAATTCAAAATCTTACTGGAAAGTCCTTCAACTTGATTGTCCGAACTGTAAATGTATGTAGTCCAAGTGTACATGGTCAGAGGGCACTCTGTGTGGGTGTACATGTAAACGAACTTTGATACAAGACGTCATTCTCTCTTGTGAAGAATGACATGTACAAGTTAGAGCAATTCCTTTGTTTGATGGTGAATAGCAGAGGAATTCAAAATGTCAATCTTCTCCTACTATGGATTGATCAGCTGGCTGTACCTGAATGCTAATGAGTGATCCTGTCTAAAGTAAAGCTCAAGCCTAGAGCATCTATGTTTTTAAATGTCAGAGTACTATTCATAAAACCTGTGGGTCATGAGAGCCACTTTGCGTGCAATCTCAATCAGGTGCTATTTATTTAAGTCATTTCGATTTCCCATTGATTGATTATATTGAGCTCGAATCCTCTGCCTCATGGCCCACTACCCTTGTGGATAACGTTTCGGCGTTCGAAACAATAAGGTGTTGGTTTTGGGTTACAATGAAATCACAAGCACCAACTAGGGATGTAGGCGATTCCAGATGACGAGTCTCTAGTGGGATGAAAAGCGCATGCCGGATTACACTGTTAGCCACCGCTAACCCAGTGACACTGCAATTCTTGGTATACTCATTTGTTTTACACCTTTTCATTAAGATATACAGTGATATACACACCTTCGGAGAAGAGAAGACAAGACACTTTCTAGGCATTTCAATTTTAGCATTTAGTTTCTACAAGTTTCTTTCATTACTCAACTAAAATAATACTTGCGTTTATCAGAGTTTGATGTCAGATATCCGAGTAAAATATTGACGCATATCCATAATCATGATGTAAATGATTGGCTCTTCTACTGAGGCTTGACAGTGAAATCCCTTATTTAGTGTTGGCTGGCATTCCGTCCCATTCGGGACTCATCAACTGAATGCATTTGCACATCAAGTGAATGATAACATTTCTACTGGGACTCCAACCTATCATCCAACGTTATAAGCTCAAACGTATTGTTCAATGCAGTTAATCCGTAGGAAATTCAAAATAACTTAGACGAATATTAACACCGACTTCTTTTATAATCAATATCAGTAATATCTAAATTGTAGCCCTTTCTGTAAATGTTATAATTACTAGGAAAGAAAGTGAAATGATATTTAAATACATACTAACAGGTACTTATATAGCCAAGAATATTTCTCTTCAAAAGTCGCCTCATCTCCTTGTTCATCATCGTCAAAATCTTCTACGTCTACATCATTCATAAAGAAGGCGGTCGACGTCTCAGCAGTAATAGTCAATTCAGGTTGAGATAAAGTTTTTGTGCACTTAGAAAAACATTGAATTATCTGTCTATGAAATTCTGCAGCATCATCGCTGGTGAAAAATTCCAGTGTTACTTTTAAAGACTGAAAAATAAGAGATGAAATATTAAGAATTAAAAATAAAACTACACAAAAAAAAGTCATGTGGTGTTAAGAAATTAAACTGCACAACTCACACTGTATACATAATCAAGGCTGAATTATCAGTGTGAAATAAATATGAGATCAATAGACTCACTCAATCAAGTTGAACAAACCTGTAGTTAACTGATACACCATGTGTTATTTTTCATGTAATATTTTGCATTTAATCATTTCTTTTGTCTGAATTCAATTTCTGCATATTGGGAATATCTTAAGAAAGGAGTGATGGCCAGAAATCTTTATTTAGCCAGTCCCACATGAATATCCAGTCTAGACACCTCAATTCACCCTCGTCTACAAATGTAGATCTCTGCCAGTTTAGAATAATGATTAAAATAACCCTCATAAACTAACTGGGTACGGCTGAGGGTGGTTAGTCTCGGCCCAAAATGCTCTAATGTGGCTCCGCGTCTATAGTCTGCGTTAAGTAGGTCCTATTCACTACGCTTATTTAGCTCAGCTGTTCTTCACAAAAGTAAGGGGCTAATGCGAATGTTTGGACCTTCCAAAACGGACTGATGGATAAGCAGGGTCTACCTAAGATAGCTGGGAAACACTGATTCCAAATCTGCGGTGTACATGGGCCTAAGAGTTCAAAGGGATTGAGTGGCATATGGACCTGTTTTGGTCGCTGGAAACTGTGGGAACGTATCTCCTGACAATTCTCCACTGCTTCGCATTTCAGACTTTAAGTCAAAGGTTCGAGGTATGACCCTTTAAGACAACTAAATGTTTCAGTCTAGGCGTTCGGGTATTATTCCAGTCCCCGTACAAACTATGAGGTTTTGTGAGGCTCATCCCTTGGTATCCATAACGCAATCACTTTCTCTCTTAATAAAGTAACAATAAAAATATGTATTACATCCCTAACTAGTCATCTATTTTATTTTTTTTAATTTTGATTTACAGCTTGATTCCACACCGTATTTTCAGTACAAGTCTGGCATTTTCAGCATGGATATCGGTAGCCCAAATTTTACAGGCCGACCATAGATATCGGGTGTGCGCCGGCAGGGGATCGAACCCCGGACCATGTGCATGGTCGGCGAGAGTCCTAACCACTGTGCCACCGACGCACAGAGCGGCATGAAATAATTGTTCGTCTGTGGCAAAACGTTTATTAGGAGATAGAGTTACCGTTGATTCTACTGCTACACCATGCTTATGTCCAGGGAACAACAACAGTGAAACCACCGTCTCAGTTGATGCATGATAGGAAACGACGACTACAAATATACAGTGAGACCTGACTACATTACCAACAGTGGAGTATGAAGAAATCAAAAACGGGACGGGAAGAAGTAATCAGAAATGTAAGGCACAAACAGAAGATTGACGCTCATGTCTTTAAGTAGAAATGCATAATATTTGAAACCCGAGATCATGTGAAGTTTGGAGGTGGATCAGTTTCACGACAACTCTTTCCAAGTTGTGAAAATCCATAGACTGTTACCAACAGACATGATCCAGTTTATAACCATCAAAAGAGGAGATAAACTAAAAATTGTCAACACTAACCAACTTCGGAGAGTGATATGGTGGGAAGAAGAAGGCGACAGTATCATGACACAACAAGAGCGGATGGAACCAACAAAGTCGTAGAGGCTGCACTCTAAACTTCTGGACGATGGAACGAGTGCAAAAGTGTACTACTGACAGAAATTTATCAGTAGTGAATTGAGTGTGGTGTTTTCTGCAAGATTCTTGAATATCGAGGGGGGGAGCACTAATTGATTAGTGAAAAGAAGAAATGATCTTTGGGAAACAATATAGAAAGCATAAAATGATGGCAAAAGAAGTCGAATACAAATAACTAGTGCAAATTGAAAATATATATGCAGTAATGAAGCTATAAAAAATGCAATACGTTGGCTAGGAATAGATCTATATAATTTATCCTTTTAACTTATTTTCATTATTTCATTTTTATAAAAATGTGTGAAAGAAACTGAGTTCTACGTGAAATCCAATGAATTTTTCGTATAGAATTTTAGGAAGAAAAACATCTGTTTAAGTTCCCAGACTTCATACAGCTATGCATAAGGATGCCTAAGCAAAATAATCGTTACATAAAGAAAAATATGGGTTTCTGAAAAGTGGAACGTCACAAGAAATCAATACATCTGCGTTACTGAGACTCATCTTGAGTCATTCCACCAGCAGCCTTCAATTATTAATTCTTGGCATCACAAAAAGACACCAGCCAGACAGTCTCCACCTCCCTCTGTGGCCTAAACTCCCAATCAGAGTCATCATGTACTTATTCTGTTCTACCTCTTTTCCCACCTAAAATAATATCAAACAAAATCGTGCATCATGAGGAGATATGGTTGGATAGACGAAGCCCACGACTTAGGCACCTCAATCATCATGACAACCTGATCAGTTTATTCTTTGCTTTTCATCCAACAATCCACGCCTAACCTCATTATTACTGGCCATAAAATACCATCTAATATAAAAGGAAGAATGTAGAAGCCTATGGACAAAGATACCTAACTACTTCATGCCTCCCAATTTTAACTGACATAACCTACAGCTACGAAGAAAGAAGTAGACACTTCTGAACATCACACACTCCCTAAAACTTCATCTGTTTAGTTTTTGTTCGCGACGATTTAAAAGACACGCCTCTAATGTATTAACCAGTCCTAGGCTATAGGTATTTTTCATGAGTAAGTGCCTGTAGTAAATTAAGAAAGTGGGCAATTCAGTCATCGCAAATAATCTGGCATCCCTGCTTTCTCTGCTTCTGAAAAGTCATTGTAGATGGTATGTGTGTATTTCAGCCTAACTTTGGAAAAAAAACTTTAATTCAGAACTGGTCATACATTGAACATAAACATTGAATAGAAGTATGTTAACAAACTTCTGTGTGCTATTCTGAAAACCTCGCTTCTGGTCTGTAACATACTGATCTTAAGAAACTAATGTAGTCTGGAGGTTATGTTTCTCTTTACACTAAAGAAAGGATCAAACTAGCAACATATATCAAAGCACTTATCAGACAGCAACAAAGAACTCTGACCACAAGCCAAATAAGAAACTTTTGCCCAACAAACATACAGTGGGAGATGGAGATGGGATGATGAGACACTCCCTAGGGTGACCAGTGAGTGGCATAAGACACCAAAGCGTCGAGTGGAACGCGAATAGGAAGCAAAAAGTTTGGTGTGGGTCTGAAAGTAACATGAAGGAGACCATTTGAAGAAGAGATGACAGCTTGTGGGCGATTGTGCAGCGGGATAGGAAAACAACAAAGAACAATGCTGAAGCTCTATGCTCCGCGCAAAATCCACGGGATAAAGAATAATAATTTAATTCTACTGCTTAGAATTTTGAGCATATTCACAATTGATTTACTTCATAGGATGAGAAAGTCACGTAATGAAAGTATAATATTGCTGTTGTCATTAGAGTTCAGCTACCTGAAACAAATTTCTTGTGTATCAGACTATAAGGCATTCTTACTGTCGGAAAGCTTATGATACTACATAGTAGTTCAGATTGATTGAATTAGGCGAAGTGGGATTCGAACCACGGACCCATTGCCTCTAAGCTGACTGCCTGAACCAATAAGCCACATGTATGTGTGTTTCTGTAATTGAAAAACTTCAAATAGCACTGAAGTTAACATTGAAAACATAGTCTCAAAGGACAGTGAAAAACTCTATAAATTAACAAACCAGTAAAGCAAACAGAACAACGTCAGCAAACGTCACACAAATAGTTCCCATTATAAAATTTCGATAAAGCAAAAAAGACCAAATTTGCAGTAACAAAAGGACGTCATTTTAATAGATGAGCTGAAGACAACTAATTCACGGAGATTGGCCAAAGACATTACAATCAAACGTTTTAAACCAATCCTATGTATGCAGAAAGAGACTGTATTGAATATCTTATTCCTTTGATAACCAAATTTCAACTCTGACTCGACTAATTGCGTAATCATCGACATTAGTGATTTCACTGCAGTTTTCTTGAGTTACTATACGATCTTGTAAATAAACACTGTCAAGTGTTTCTCCCCACTTTCTGTCTTCTCCTCCTTCCAACTTCAAACAATGAGTTGAACATAAATTGATGATGGCTACAACTTAAAAATTGTGATGTTTAAATTTCTGAAAACTTATTTCTTATAACATTTTCTCTGATGTCATTTCAACAATTAAGTATGCTGTTCTCACTCTTTCATAACCATTGTAATTCCAGTTAGTCTGTAATTGATGATAGTCTATGCAGTAGGATAACGTCATTTTGATTGGACACTAGTAACTAGTGTGATGTGTCTAGTCCTTTCTTTGGTGCAGACTGAATTCCATCAGTCAGGTTTGCAATGTGGCCACCATTCTAGGTAGCTCAGTGGTAACGTCTCTGACTGCATCACTGGGTGACGTGGGTTTGAATCTCAGGAGAGACATGAGTTCTTTCAACTTGGTTGCAGATACGTCTTGCTGACAAGCGCGAACTAGCACGAAACCTATGTCCGAGGCTTCTTCCTGTGACCGATTGCCTCCAACCATCTAATATCATCAAATAACCTTACTTTATACTGCAAATTTGGTCGTTTTGCTTTAGAGAAAAGTCAGGAAAAATCTACTTAAGCCACAGATATCCTCTCATCATTTCTAAGTAGGATGCTATTGTTGAACACCAGCACTGTGACAAATGAAATTATACACTTTTACGTATGTTTCAAAAGGTACTACCTACCACAGACTTAAATTCAAGAGACACATTTGTCTTATTTTGTGCCAGTTTTTAAGTCACCTCATTTATTACTATTATTAGTTCTAATTTATTGTTAGCTTGTCGGTTTAACAATTCAAATCTTCACTTCTCTTGTGTAGTATCATTCTGCATCCAAATAACTAAGTCAAGTGACTCATTTTCCACGTGTTCGCCTGCCTTTTAAGATTATTACCCAAGGTTATTCTAGCAATTTTTAGAAATTAGTACTTTCCTCTCCTAATATTTATTTTAACATAATATGTTAATTACTTGGTTTTAACATTCTATTCTTGTTAAGTATAAACCAAATTACTTGCTTCATTTGGGGTTAAGTACCTATGTGGTAAGAGATGGTTGCTAGCCAAATTGGTTGACAGTAATTGAGGTCAATGTTTATGTATCAAATATTAGTCATGTGAAAACAAGATCAAGATGGACAGGCGGATACAGTTAACATATAGATGAACTGACACAGCCACAAAGAGATGCAAGGTTAACTTTGTGTGCGGAACAACCAATCAAAAGACTGTATTTTCTACTAACACTAATCTACAATAACGTATATTAAAATCTATAAATATGTGTTGATTTTCCGTAATAAACGTTCTGTTGCCTGGCTCTTGTCTTCTGTTGTTACACCTACACCGTCGTTTCAACCACAGGTGGAACGGATGAATATGTCAAAAGCTAGAGAGAATTGGAAAGGCAAAATATACCTTCATCAATCTGAAACCAGTTTGGAAATCTTCTGCACTAACTCAGCATAAAGAAAAATATTCGGACTCTCAGCACCAACATGAAATCAGTCAGTTCTTCTATATAGGTCAGAAACTCGGCCAGCACGTCACGAAAGGCATTTCCAACAGGCTAATGCAGACTATTAGCTACAGCTGCCTTCTCCGCTTCCATATTGAAGATAAAATTGCCAGATGACAAGGAACTCTGGGAAGAAATTAGCAAAGAACTTATTGCTCAACAAATATACAGGGGAAAATGGAGATGGATCGGGTATATGTTAAAGAGGTCGATGAACAACATCGCGTTCAATCGAGTTCATCACCCGAATGGAATCCGAATTGGAAACGGTGAGTGGTTCGTCGTTGAGAGGGTGATATTGAGGAGATCGTTTGATCAGGAGGAGGTGAGAGATTATGGGCAATGTTGGGTTCAGATGAAGATGACAGCAGAAAATAGAGCAAAGTGTAGATGTGCTGTTGAAGCCCTATGTAACAGTCAGACCTCAAGGGAACAATAATAATAATAACATACTCCGTAACAGTCGCCTGCTTGCCTGCTTAACAAAGAAGGAATGAAACTGTGTCTTCATTTTGATAATAGAGCATCATGTGAATTCAGGACACTCAGCTTAATTTCTATTCACTTTCAAAATCTTATAAAAAGTTTTATCAGGCCTCACTCACAAAGGAAGTGCAGTCAAGCCATCTAAAAATTTAACCCACCTTTAATTTCCCACGACCTCCATAACCAGTTTACATTCCTAGGACGTCCTTATCATTGATCGTTATTCATCTCATGTTCATCAACTTATTTTAGTTGCTATTTGCATTATGTAACTTTATTTTTTTATTCACTGTATTTTGACCTCTGACCGAGAACAGCTCTGTAATTTGCTTATCCTTTTGTTATGTGTCCAACAATTTATAGTCTAGTTGATTTTCTGTTTTGGTTATAGCTTGAAACCACACAGTATTTTTGGTACAAGTATGGAATTTTCAGCATGTGGTATCGGTAGCCCGAATTTTGCAGGCCAACCATAAATATCGGGTGTGCGTCGGCAGGGGGTCGAACCTCGGACCATGTGCATGATCGGCGAGCATCCTAACCACTGTGCCACCAGCGCACATCATGACATAACTTTTATAGTAGATTCCTTTGCCCTATTAATGTCCTTTTGGGAGATATATGGTTTCGTCTCTGATTTTTCCAAAATGCTTTCGGGTATTCATGCTTATCCAGACAGCTTTTCCAGAAGGAAATCTTCGCTTTCGCTTCAGTAAGGTTGACAGACAAACGTAGAAACTTGTTCAGTTCCTTTACCGTCGAACGGTCCTTGCTCTTTTTCAAATTACAGAATATACACATTTGATCATAGGGAATTAAAAGACAGTTGCAGCGAAGAACATTTTCTTTTCGACGAAGTCATCAACTAGGCTGTACATTCGTGTACGTGTGTAAAGCAGTTTACTTGCTCTTGTGGAGCTGAGTACATAGACTGTACCATGCGCCGACTTGGAAAATGTGCTCGCGAACACTACCCAGCCTGGCTAGTAAAAGAAGACCAAAAACATGTATACAGTTCATATATCTCCCGATTCACGCACTCTCAGAAGACACACCCAGAATCACATTAATGTCCTTTTGCATTTCATTTACTGAACCAAATAAGCCCAACCCATTAACAAAAACGTAAGCCTTTCTTTAACCTTTATCAACCCGTGTTTGTATTGAAATCACATAACATGCAATTTTATAAAATGATTGTGAAACTATCTGAGTTAACATTAGACTGGTAGAAGGTTACTGAAATAGCACGCGATGATCCGAACTAGTAGTTTCCAAACCACTAGTCCTTCGATCTTTCAGCTGAGAAACAAGACTCAGGTGTGAAGCAAGTGATTATTTCCCTAAAATCCCCGCAAGTAATGCCCAGCTCTCATGCGACCGAATGATACATTTCTGTATTTCAATACGAGACCAATTTCATTTTGGTTCAGTGAAATCAATCCATATGCCCAGGAAAATTCATTATCTGAATATTAGTCTTCAGCTGACTGATGGTTACTAGATGGATGTCATGTAACCGTGCTGAGAAGTAATCACTATGTCAAGGTGAAGTAGATGATCACCGAAGACATTGATTGAGGGTAGAGATACATCACGAATTGGTGAAGTTAGAATTCATAGATCATCGGGTTCCGTTCCCGTGATTGAATGTTCAACCAGCTTAGTCTAGCAAACTGAAGGTATCACGTTCAATCCCTGGTGAGACTGAGGCTGTGTGAAGACTCTCAAACTACGACAGAAAAACGGTCTAGTGTTCCCTGATTTCCAAAGATCTCCAGCTCATGGAGGATTTCATCATAAGCTAACATCAGTTAGAGAACCACTGGAAGACCTATGAGTACTGGACAGTTGTTTCGTCCTAGTTTGACACTCTTCATCGGTACGCACCCACCACAGGGGTTCGGACCCAGGACCTTCTGGTTACAAGGCGAGCTCGTAGACCATTGAGCCACTGGGACCCGATCCAATGGTCCTTGAATTCTAACTTCTGCTAATTCACGACATAACGCGACCATTTCACAATGTCTTCTTTGATGAGTTACTGCCTCATCTTCAACCTGCTGTACCCTACTGGTCACGGCTTCCCACTAGAACCCCAGGTTAACTGCCTGAATAGGGCCAGTCGCTTATTTTGGTTCATGATAAAGTTCACACTGAAATTAATCCAAATTCCTACAAAAACCCATAATCTAAACGTTTATCATCACGCTGTTTGCTCAGCTAAGACCTTTTTTTATCATCAATATTAATCATACTGAACTAGAAAGAGAGGAGTAACTTGTCAATTAATGGTGGTGAATTACTCTTTTATAAATTTTGTAAATGAAAATCTATGCCTAAAACTTACTTGAAACTCTGGTTTCATCCTGTTTCTCTCCTTACTTATTTTCTTTATACGATCAGATATGAATAATTCACTGTCAGTGGTTACATCACCATTATCTTCTTTAAGCGTTGAGTTCTGCTCACCATTATTATTATTATTACATAGAATTGTAAAAGGATGAAAATTATCATAGACTGATTGTTTACCGAAACGAACAGTGTTCACTAATCGTTTTCCAGTTAACTGGATACAACCTGAAAGGTCTAAACAGTGAAAAAAACAGTGGCACAAATCGTCAATAAGCTAAGCATTTCACTTTAAACAAATTAATGATAGGAAAACACATTTTTAACAATAAGAAAACAATCGCCTGTTGGTTAACAAACTTTTTATTTGTTTGATCATAGACTATCTTCTCCTACGTAACCTAAGATGATTAGACTATCAAACGCCCTGAAATCATTTAGTGTTGCTGTATCCTCTGAAATGGATAAATTATTCTCAAAGCTTTCATTTTCCTTGACAGACAAGATCTTTAATACTAATTTCAATGTGAAATGAGCTTATTGGTGGGTAGAATTTCTGTCTTTCTCGATGACCATGACTGTAAGTGACCATTGCCTAGCATTTTCTTGAGATTATATTCACCTACATTGATAGTGATAGTCTCGCTGACCTAATATTGGATCGTTTCACTGAATGGCTTATTCTTTGATTTCTTTGATTTGACTTAACTTTTCTTTGTTTGTTTGTTTGATTTGACTCAACTTTTGTTTGGATGCTTATTTTTCTACTTAAAACCTTTGTGTAATTCTGTATATTTTGTTTCCATGTACACCCTGAGTACAACTCTTTCATTTAACTATTCATGTTATTACGCAACTCTTCTTTAGCAATCTTTTGTGACAACTCATCACTTTTGTTACTACCCTCTTATATCAACATCCAATTCATCTGAACTTACTAATTGTATTTTCGTTTGAAAAATTTAATGTACACACACATACAAAACAACCATATATATTTGCGATTGTACAGCTATGAAAATGAATTCGCCGAAAAGAGACTCTTCGCTGAACTACTTGTCCTCTGTCTATTATTTATTAACCGGTTAATTTAATCCATATCTCCAAGTCTCTTAATTGAGAACTCATATGAGTACTAGAAACTGTTCAGAAAATTCCAAGAAGCCAGTGCTTTTTTCATTAGACTGATGCTAAGCTGCCAGTACCATTCCTGGTACAACTCATTGGAACTGTTATTTTTGTTTTTAGGAATTGTGAATTTCTTATTGTTCATTTTTGGGTGATCGAGTATATCTAGAAACACAGACTATCTTAATGAATGTTGATGAGTTTATGAAAGTTGCTCTTGTATTCCTTTTTAACTGTCTGAATCATTTTGTATGCCTAAGTGTTAATCTTTTTGGGATTCCAGCTACTTTAAGTAACATTCCATTATGGGTTATTGCATCCCGTCCGAGTAACTGAATCATGAAGGACTCGCCTGGTAACCTGGAGGTTTTTGGTCTAACTCCTAAGAGCGTCATGAGTATGCACTGCTGAAGAGTTCAAAGCCAAGGCGAAACAACTGTCCAGTACTCCTTGGCTCTCAATGATTCTCCAACTGATGTCGGTTGGTGACGAAATCTAACTTTTTCTTTTTTTACTGTAGACTTATTTTCATAAGTCTGTTTCGTGGTTATATGGAATATACAGAGAATTCGAAAATATGGCCTGAATCATAATAACATTCGCTTTAACAACTAATATCAAAATATTTCGTGCATCATACGTTTAGACACTTTTATTCAACTTACATCTCTTACTTGTGTAACAACAGAAGACAAGGGTCAGGCAACAGATCGTTTATTAAGGAAATCAAAGCACATTTATATATTTTCATGTACATTACTATAGATCAGTTAAGCAAACAAACACAGTCTTCTGATTGGTTGTTTCTCACTTAAAGTTAATCTTTCATCTCTTTGTGACTGTTTCTTGAATATCAGATCATCTATATGTTAACTGTATCCGCCTGAGCAAAGTCTGCTGTGGTCGGTTTTGAATCAGGCTTTGTTCATATTTTCTCACGACAAATCTTGAGAACGTAAACATTGACGTAAATTACTGTCTACCATTCTGGTTAGTAGACAGCTCTCACCACACTAGTACTGTGAATGTTTAAATGATCTAAGGCTACTTTTTAAACCAGAATTCGTCAGCCGGTCGTTATTCATCTACCTACTTAGTAGTAAGCTGAAAATGCAAACAAATAATCAGCTTTCCCTTTCAAGCAAATAGTTTTCGTTCCGTAAAATAAAGTAATACAAACGTTTCACCCCACCCTTGGTCTTCATTCAGCAGTTGAGTAAGACTTCATTTTGTAGTACATTAACTAGGAAATACTGTTTGCCTTAAATATGCACAGAAGTGTTGAATACATCTACCAAAACACCTAAAGAAATCTACATCCGAAACGCTGAGAGATATATCTGATCCAGTTGATGAATTAGATCAAGAAGATTTCAAAAGCTTCTAAATGAAACTATGTAATCAAAATGTATTTTTTTGAGGAGGACCACCTAACTTATTAGTTCGCTGGGTGAAATTAAAGTGCCATATAAACCAAAAGCGATTATAAATAGAAGCCATATTGTGACGAGAGCTGGCTGCTAGCCAAAGGTGGTAGACAGTAATTGCCGTCAATATTTATGTCCCCAATATTGGTGGTGAGAAAATGAGAGCAAAGGCTTTGCGTAGGTGGATACAGTTAGCATATGGATGATCTGACACAGCCACAAAGAGATGCAAGGTTAACTTTCTGTGAGAAACAAACAATCAAAAGACTGTATTTTCTACTAACAATAATCTACAATAATGTACATTAAAATCTATAAATATGTGTTGATTTTCCTTAATAAATGATCTGTTGCCTGGTCCTTGTCTTCTGTTGTTACAGTATGATAACCGAGAAGGTTCTCCCAAAAACAGTTTATTGACTGTCAGACAGAAATACAAGGCTGAAAATTAGTTCTTCAGACTGAAAATCAAAACTTTGAGAAGACACACAAAAATCCAGAATTGCAGAATAAAATCCCTGAATAAATATATTAAAATTGAAACACTTAAACTAAACCAACAGATTTGAATTCATCTGAATTCCCCTACAGGTTATTATTACACTACAGCTTACCGGTATTTCAGATTGAAAATCAGTTCCTTCTCAACTGACTACGTTCCCACGGACTGGAATCTCAGAGAAAACATTGGTTCCTTCAAGGTTGTTAGCCATTGACAATGAAAGTAAACCCTTGGGCTAAGGATGTGTTTCTCACCACCCCTGACTGCCACTTAACGTCAGGTAGTATTGCACAAAGATGAACATTCTCCTAACTTAGTGACCACATTCCAAAAGTGACAAAAAGAGCTCAGTCAGCATTAGGCAATGGACAATATAACAATAATTAATCTCCAATGTCCAACTAATGTTACTTTTTTCTTTCTGTTCTCAATCACGAATTAGGTGTGAAGCAATTGCTGAATGCGGCTTTATATAATGAAACACAAGTCATAGTCATATAGTGTGAAGATTTTAGATCTTACATGATCATGTAAATCTCGATCACTGACATGTAAGTTCACTTATTATTCTACTGGCTGAAAGTTATCAAACGATTTTATACAGCTGCATCTGACCAAAGATGTGTGCGTTCTATCTCTTGTGTTAAGTGGTATAATATGGTAAGTTATATTGAAGTGAAGGACAAAGTGTTAGGTACGGAGAGAAAGTCAATCGGTCAGGTTTTGAAGCAACATCTACTGAGATGGCTAGAACATGTGTTGTACATAAAAAGCCACCACCTTCCTTGCTGAAAAAAAATGATAGCTGACTTATTATTAAGTTGAAAATACTAAGAGTGGTCAAATCAAGATTCGGTATCAATCAATGAAGCACTTGACCGTTAGGCTGAGCCACAATGGGAGGTGTGGATCATCTGATTAAGATCCTTGGGATTCTAAGAATAAATGTTCGGAGACTTCTGGTGATGTGGTTCAAAATTGTTTTTCAATGGCACAGGTGCATTCACTCTTTACGAGCTGGCATATCCACTAAACTGCTACATTTTTCAATGTTACTCTCCTCCCAATCCCCGCGCACACACATTTATGCTCATTATAGTTGATTAGAATCTTATTTTTTTTTCTGTCTCCCTTTCTTCTACTTTTGTAGGCTAAATGAAGTGTAGCAAAGGGAGTTACTGCCTTTCCGTGCAAAGTTCTGTGTTGATACTCAGTCAGTCATGCAGAACTATGATATTTCCGGGTAAGCTACATGGCATTATTGTTATACTATAATTTATAGAGTTGTTCATATTTGTTAAAAATAGAATAAATATGTTTGCATATTCTTACCCATTTCACAACTCAGTACATCCTCCAATATAAAAATATCCATTAGAATAACATCGGTTTGATTGACATCGAGATTTTGTGATTCAGTGAATATGAAAATGCTGAAATTACAGAAAGAAGAAAGAATAAAAATAATACGGAGCAGATAATTCAGATATCACAATCATCTGAAGGGAAAAATAAGCCAATACGCCTAGTAAATCGTGGTAAGAACTCCAAATTAATATAAAATCATAGTAACGAAGAACACAAGGTGCCTACTGAGTGGAAGAAAAGCTGGCTACCTCGTCAAGCTGCCAAAGAAGGGCTTCCTGGGCCTGTGCAACGACTGGCGTGGAATAATACTCTTGTCCATGTCAAGTAAAATACTAAGTCGCATCATCGTGGAAAGAATAAAAGATGCACTGGATACAGAACTCCGCCCACTGGAAAAAGCTGGATTCAGGAAAGGCAAATCATGTGGTGATTGAATTTTCACTCTACACATCATCATCGAACAAAGCATAGAATGGCAGTCAAACCTCTACTTCAACTTCATTGACTCCAAAAAGGCCTTCCACAGTGTTGACTGAGAAGTAATTTGGAAGCTACTCCAACACTACGGCATGCAGTGCCCAAGTCTTTATCAACCACATTCAACAGCTGGCTATATGACAATGCCAAGTGATAGGTGATCCACAACGGGAGCCTCAGAGAGGCGTCTGAAGTGAATCCAGGAGTAAGACAAGGCTGCCTATTATCTTAATTGTGGTGGACTGGATTATGCGTCAGACTGTGTGGAGCGAGGAGACAGGATTACGCAGGACCACCAATGAGAAGACTCTAGAAAATCTGCATTTCGCAGATGATATATGTTTAATGTCACATAAACTCAAAGACTTACAGATGAAAACCAACAAACTGACTGGAGAAGCAGATAGAAAAGACAGGACTCCACATGAACATAGACAAGACAGAGGTGATGAAGATAACCAACCAACAGCAACAACAACAACCAGCACCAATCACCATCAACGGGAGAGATTTAAAAGAGGTTACTTTCTTCACTTATCCAAGAAGCATCGTTTCAACTACAGGTGGAATGCACTGGTAAACCCACTTAGGATAGAATCCAAAACCTTCAGATTACCAGCCAAACCCACTGACCATTTAGCCGTTGAGTTAATATGCTGTATCTCATGAATTCCAACTTCTCGAATGAATGGTATGGGGAACCACTACTGTTGCGACAGAATGCCACCGCCAATCGATGCCGTTGATAAGCATCCACTTTAGACACGATATAGTGAACCTCACTAGACCTTCAGAACAACCGTCCTAAAACCACTGACCACACAATTGATTGAATTTGGCTCTTATTCTAGATATCCTAAATTCACTGTTTGGTGAGGTTGTGCGTACGCACTACTGAAAAGTTCCAAAGCTCGATGAAACACCTATCCAAGGCTCACTGGTTCCCAATGATTCTCTCATTGTTGTGGATTTAAGACTCAATCTTCAATGAAATGTTACAAATAACTACAAGTTTAAAATCTTAATTATTAGCTGACTCTTCGATCGTATTTTTATTTGACAGAATGTCTACAATAGTCTACTATTGAAAAATATTGGTAGGCGGGAGTGAAATCACTCTTACACTGACTCAGAATTAGTTTCTAGAGAATGTTTATTTCACAAATAATTTACTGATACAAAGTCACTTACTCCTGTGCTTATTTAAAATGTACATAAAATTATATAACCACCACAGCTGGCTGTTTATTGTGCAAATGCGTAAAGTGCTTGCAGTTAAACATACATAATCCTAGTAAATTACTACCGGACCTCTAAAATGATGCTCATATATAAACGAATAAAAGATTTCGTTCTACAACCAGCTATTCAATTTATCAAGATGTAAAAAATACAAAATAAAAAGTGAAATTATTCCTTCATGTTTATAATTTCCTCTTGAAATAGCTGGGTCGAATTCATCAGACTGGATTCAAGCTTCAGTGAACATACCATCATTGACTAGAAAAGCGGTAAATCCAGCTGATGAGTCCCGAATGGTGCTAGGAGCACATCTTGTGTGCTACTGTCAGACAAGTAATTTTAGATTAGAAACCAGGGAAATACTAAAGCATTCTCTCATGAGGCCCATTCTGCCCAACAGGTCATATTGATTTGGTCCACAAAGGTGGAAGGGAAAATCGCAAGCACAGACAGATACTAAATCTATCACTTTTCTGGTAAAAACTCCTTGATACTCAACAATGGTATAGTGTCATACATTCCAGTCAGACAGTAGCAAGATAGATGACTTTCATTTATTTCAGAGTATTTCTTAGTATTTTTCAGAGTATTTTTTTCAGCTGCTAATAGACTACTGTACCACTCATCTTTCATCTCTTGCATATGCTTTCAGCTTCCATTTAAAGTATCACTACAATTTATTTATTTCTTCCATTAAGATATGCCATTTAGGTTAACTAAAGAAAGAATTAGCTTTGTCAGGGAGTCGTCTTTTCAAAAATTTCATACATTTGGTTCCCTTGATAAATTTTGATAGAGAAAGAAAGACCACACTTTCAGTATAAAATGATATCATCATTCTATTTCACAGGTTCTCATCAGTTGCAAACTGTATGAAATTACAATGGTTATAAATAATAACATTTCATACTTCAATGTTTGAAAGGTAATAAAGAAAAGAAGAAAGTGTTCATTTGCCTTGCATACAAAGGAGAAACAGTATCACAAAATATTGAAAAGCGGATGAAAGGAGCAATAAAGAGATGCTTCCCACCTGAAGCTAAGCCGGTGACACTATACAGCAATACATGCTCTATAAGCCAATCGAAACTGGATAAGTACCCTACTGATGTTACCTCCGACTGCATTTATAAATTTACGCACACCTGCGGCAGCAAGTACATTAGAAGGACAGAAAGAAGGGCTTCTATCCGGTTTTCAGATCATATTCAGAGAAGCTTATGCTTAAAAGGAAACAGATATTTACAAAGTGCAATTACCGGACACCTTTTGGATATCTCAGACCATTTTGTCGAGATTTCCAAATCCTTCAAAATATTAAGCATGCAAAGGACAGCGAATCTACTATGACTGCAGTCAAACGTCTCAGGCCAAACTTATGAACACAGAAAGAGAGTGTAGTCAATCTCTCACTCCCTTGGTAATCATATTACTTTCATAACACTGATTAGTCATACACACTAGTGAGCTCAGCTCACTGAGCAAGTTTTCAATTTGATGAACTTTAACCTTCCTGTGTTGCCATTTTGACGTACAAACTAACACTGTTTATCAGGTTTTTCTGTTTTCTGTTTTTTTTTGATAGTATATAAATTGATGGCAACTTAAACTAAAAATAATTGTAGTACTTATACTCCCGATGTGTTCATGCTATAATGTTTCCTTTATTAAATGTCAAACATTGAAGTATGAAATGTTATTATTTATAACCATTGTATTTTCAGGCAATTTGCGGCTGATGAGAACCTGTGAAATAGAATGATATCATTTAATACTGCAAATCTGGTCTTTCTTTCTCTATCGAAAAAAATTAGTTTTTATAAATTTCATTCAGCAGCTAAATGATGATGCCATATGCCAACTGATTTACAGCGAAAAGTTCAGTGAAGGCCTTGAAGGGAAGAAATGAGTAAGACAAGGCTGCCTTCTATCACCGATGATCCTCCTCACTATGGTGAACTGGATCACAAGATAGACAGGAGGGACTGGGAAGAAGGACATACATTGAACCGACAAAAAGATTCTAGAATACTTTGACTTTGCAGATGATTTATGTACAATACCGCATAGACTCGAAGATCTACTGCCGGAAACCAACAAGTTGGAGGGAAATTCGGCCAAGACCGGACTTCATGTGCATATATGGGAGAGAGAGGTGGTGAAGATGCCTAACGAACCACAACAACCACCAGTCATTAACAGGGGAATAAGTGCGAAGGAAGTCTTCTCATTCACTTACCAGGTTAGGTCGCATTATTTCAACTACTTGCGGCATGAATAACTATTTCAAAACAAGATAAAATCAGAAAATCAAGACAGGTGTTAATTTTTCTGAAATCAGTGAGTAGATTAACAGCACTCAAGACACCAAACAACAACCGAACTGTAAACTCTAATATCTTAGCAACATAGCGTGATGCAGATTGACAGGAAGCAGCCAAAAGAGAAATTAGCATTTTGAATCAGTCGCTGCAAAGGTAAAAGTGTTTATTCTGAAAATTTGGAATTAGTTTAAGTTGTGGACATGGAAGACCTCATTGGACAACCTGTTTAACCTTGGCCGATTTCCAGCCAATCAGAATAATTTATTCTCCTCCAACCTAGCCGAATTTTAATGTGGCTGAAGATGTATAAATATGATGTATTTTTACTTAGTAGATATTCATTACCAAGTCTCTTATCTTCTAGCATCACAGCTTTAAATTCCTTAATAGTTATATTCTGTCATTATTAACTGTGGCTATTCTTACTTTTCATGCTGGTCTTAATAAACTCTTGAATGAATTCGAATGTGTAATTAGTTACTGGTAATGTTTCCTTTATTTGTTTAATTTCCTTACTCACTGGTCAGGCTGTTGCCTGAAATAGAAAAACATCCAATCAAACCTGCCTTTACTGATTTTGGGTGGGATAATTCAGAATGTGGTGCGTCGGTGGCATAGCGGTTAGGACACTCGCCGACCATGCACATGGTCCGGGGTTCGATCCCCGGCCGACGCACTCCTTTACCTCGCTAAGCCAGAAATAATGCTGGTGAAGAGGAAAGGTTGGGTATGAGGCTAGCAACCCCATCGTGTAAAATAAACACTGCTACAGAAACTTCAAGCCACTAGCTTGAAGCCCTATGTTCCACTGGGGAACGTGAAGGAAAAAAAATTCAGAATGTGAAAGTTATAACAGATACTAGTATCTAAAGCCCCCATTCCGTTTCTGTTTTATTTTGCTATCTTGGATAGCTAGATCACATCATTCATATGCTAACTCGAAAGTGAACAGGTCATTGGCAACTGTTCAGTTCATGTGTGCAAAGAAATAAACGTTATCATCAAATGTCAACATGGCAAATGTATCGACCACTATAACTTAGGAGAAGGAATAAGCATTCTCAACGCCTTATGATCCCAACTGTCCATAAATATTGGATACTACTAATCCCAATCGCAACCCCTTTTCTTTATTTGTATATTCTCTTTTGAAATTTGAAGTCTAAGGAAGTCAGACATAATTGGACGCCCAATATTATTTCTTCAGCTGAGTATAGCATTAACTTTTACCTGGTTTCTGACCACTTTCAAAGTTGCATTTAATGGAATGTTAGATTAGAGACTTGTCACATTAAAACTAATCACATTTTATGATAAACACTACTAAAATTTTCACTAGCTTCCACCCAATTTGTCCACTTAGTTTAATTAAACTATTTTTGCCACTTATTACGTAATTCCAACTTCCGTTTTTAACCTTTACTTAGTCATTCACTCCTAGATCACACCATACATTACGTAATGCATTTCTAGCATATAGTTGTCAGTAACTGACTAGATTTAGGTTAGATATATAAATGCTGTCGTACACTTTGAACTTTGACGTTCATATTTATGAATAATATAATAATAATATCATATAAACATGTTCTAAACGGTAATCTAGTAACAGTTCATTCCCAATAACCTCTTAGAATTTTGTTCCTAATGATTCGATGTTATTTGAAAACAACATTAACACTAATGATGCTTTATGTAGTTTGGACGAACATAAAACTGCATAACCTATAGAAGAAGAAGTTACCAAATAGAACATGATTTATCAAATAATGGGTATTCTCTGAAATTAATTCATCAATCAGAAATAAGCTTTAGTTGATTAGTCGAGCAGACAGTGATAAAGATACTACCTTTTATTGAAGACCTGTAACTAATGCCTAAGTTAATTTAAATACCTCACTCTAAATGTTTCTGTGAATTTAGATTATATTCAAAACAGTAGAGAATTATTATTATTATTATTGTTTCCTTTAATTCCTAGAGGAACATAGGGCTTCAGCCGTGCGTCTCCAATGCGTTCGGTTCTCTGCTAGAGTCTTCACCTGGCTCCAAGTCTGCCCACACGTTTTCATCTCCTCTTCACATGACCTCCTCCAAGTCACCCTTGCACTGACGACCAACTCACCGCTTCCCTTTCGGGTTCCACCCGAGCATTGGCTTGTCTAGTGATGTCACTTGATGGTTGGTTTCCCCAGAGTATGGCCAATCCATCTCCATTTCTTCCTGCCTATTTGTTTCACAATCGGTTCCTGGTTGGTTCGCTCATTGCCAGAGATCCTTCCCTGTTGCTGATCTTTTCTGGCTGGCCATCTGATCTTGAGTATTGAGCGGAGACAGCTGTTAATGAAGGTCTGTAGTTTGTTTGAGATGCTCTTTAGGACGCGCAGTGCAAGTCTCTGATCCGTATAGTAGCACTGACTTCATATTGGAGTTGAAAATCCGGATCTTATTTTCATTTTCATGCTGAGTGTTGTTGACCTCCACACAGACTTGAGAGTAGTGGAAGCTTGTCTTGCTTTCCCGATTCTTGCTTTGATATCCTCGTCAGTTCCCTCAGCCTGTAGTTGAAAGGATGCTTCCCAGGTAGGTAAAAGAGGTTGTTTCTTTCAGGTTCTTTCCATTTATGCTAATCATTGTCTGTTGTTGTTGTTCCTGTCCAGGTATCCTCATTACCTCTGTTTTCTCTATGTTCACCTGAAATCCTGTCTTTGATGCTTCTTCTGCCAACTTGTTGCTTTTCGCTTGCATGTCTTCCAGTTTGTGGGAAATCAGACAAATATCATCGGCGAAGTCCAGATCCTCCAAGTCTCTTTTTGTGTAGGTCCATTTTATGCCTGTTTCCTCATTGCCCACTGTTTGTTGCATTATCCAATCTACTGTAGAGAATAAACAAACGTATTCACCTCTTCTTTCATTTCAGTGTGATTAAGATTGACAGGAGTAAAATTTACTTGACAGTTATTGTGGTGATAAACAGTTAGTAAATTTTCATTCATTCACATGTCATCTGGGTGTTACTCATCATGATTTCAGTGAAATAATCAATTAGTTGATAGTTGAATCACATAGCTCAGCTACCAAATCATCGGAATAAAGGATTAGAGGCCTCTGATACACATCCCACAGCGAATCAGATTTTCGCTTCACCATCAGTCACCACAAATTGCATCAATAACAGTCTGTCAACTGAAAGTTTTCGCAGATAGTTTCAGCATCAATATATGATATAAATTAAGGTAAATGTATTCCAAAACATACGCGCTTTGATTGGAAGGTTGGTTTTTCACTAAGGATACGAATACACCAGTACGTGTCCCATATTCATCTATATATACGGGGAAAGCCTGAAAAGAAAGAAAAAGACTGATTTGTATTCATTCACAGATAATAGTTTACGACTATTTTGAAAAACATAAACTGAATTTTCATATCTTACCTGGTGGACAAATAAAAATAATTTTCAAGTATTGGTTTGGTAGGGATTTTGTTTAATTGTATGGAGGATTTCATCATGAGCTGACATCAGTTAGAGAACCACTGGAAAACCTGGGAGTACTGGACAGCTGTTTCGTCCTAGTTTGGGACTCTTCAGCAGTACGCGCCCACCGCGATTCGAACTCAGGACCTTCTGGTTATATATATATATATATATATATATATATATATATATATATATATATAGCTTTTCCAATGCAAGAGTAATTAATTTCATAAAGGTTCATCTACTAGATGCATTATGTTGAAACATACTACTGCTGAAAAGATTTATCAGCGACTGATAGTCTAGTACTCAATACAAACTATTCAAAAACAGCCAAAACTATGTAATAGTTATTCGGAGAATCTCATGATAAAGGCCGAATGTGAATGCAGTGGAAGACAAAAGTGTTCACGCTATGAAGATTTTGGAGCTTCAGAACGCTGAAAGCCCCTACAACTATTTTAATACTTAATGATTTGTGATAACCGCCACACTAGTATAGACCGACCAATGCTTGCTCAATAAATATGTGGAACAAGTTCTTACAAGTCTTATTTCAATAAAATAATGCGAAAGCGAACCATTTACCCTGGAAACTGTAATAGCCCACTTCATGCGCTTAAGCTTGCAAGTTCATTTATAAATGCTTCGACAGATCATGACTGGCCAAAGATAACATAGTAAGGAATTATACCTGACTCTCTATTCAGTGATAATAAGGCTTGTCTCCAAATAAATAACTATTGTAATTTTTGAGCAAATATTCAGTAAAACTCAAATTAAAGGCTCGCCATCACATAATGAAGCTTTGACACCACCTGAGCGCACCACTAAAGAAAATTGTATCTAAAATAAAATCAACGTGAGCATCTAATATATTATTACATTTGATACTATTAACAGACAAGTGGAAAGCTGGAGAAAACTGAGGAAAAATTAATAAAGCTTGCATAATATGAAAAGGAGGATTGATTTCGAGTATTCACGACGAACATCAATGTTTAAATTACAGAAATCTACAAAAATCAGGTAGCTAGAGAAATTAAAACGGCAAATCACTGATAACTGGCTACAAATTACATGACCTACGCTCCGTCGAAATTACCAATATTTGATACACAAACTTACTTTTTAGTTTTAAACTAGATAACAGCATAAATTAACAGGAAAAATATATCATCACTATAAACATGAATATGAATTCTATGAACAAAAGTATGCGAAATTTAAAACATACTGTAACACACTGGTCATCACTTGAGCATGTTGTCGAGCAGTCAGATGGAGAATCAGAAAGAAGCAAATGATTCCTTCGAGTTTGCTTATTGATACTCAAGAGTTGTTCTATATCATTTGCTGAATTAATATCCAAAAACTTTTGTATAGCATTCACGTAAACATTTTCCATGTCCACTGTGTATGTTAATGTTCAGCGTTTGTGCACTTTAACATAGCACACGTAAAGTCATGTGCAACTTTAAATCGTTTCAAAAACCCACTACACTCATAAGGCTTTAACCTTGAACATTGAAAAACTATAACAATTCGAAACTGCCTAGTGAAAAGATTATTCATCCTGATCAACCAGTCAGATAAGTCCTTCTTATTTAGGTGGAATTATGGATACTCTACATGAATTGTGAAAAATTGCATATAAAACTAGTATTTAAGCACTGCTTAGACTACAGGATCGTTGAAAGGAAGAAAACCTATAACCAACTATCAAAAACGCAACTATGATTTGATCTGGAATGACATTTCGTAGCATTCTTAATGTTTGATCGGTCTTCGAAGGTTAACTTTTGAAAGATCTTGGTTGTTATTATCATACTTTAACTTCGCTGCATTCCAAAATGAGCACTGAGCTACAAGTTTTGAAGTTTCAGTAGCCACGGTGTTTTTTTAACCAGTTGGGAGTGCTAGCATTGCACCTTATCTTCCCACAAGCCAATCGAGGTTTAAGAGTGCATTGTCCAGGGATTAAACCTAGACCACGTTTGAGGTTGGCAAGCATTCTAATAATGAACCACCAACTCACTGATCGATAACGACTGAGAACTGATTTTTCGAAACTCATCCTAACTATTCAGCTTATCCGACAATTTAAACTCTAAGCGTCAGTAACTACCTATGGAGTGAGACAACACCAATGACCTAGAGTTCGCCAGTGAGTTTCCCCACGTGGGTTCAAGCTTCCATTCCGCTTGACTCGAGACAAATGACTGCTGTAAGCAGTTGCGTCTGAAATTTGTGAAGAACAGGTTTTCTAGTATTGCTCAGATGTGTAATTCATGAGAAAAGAAAATTTTCTAAAGTTTGGTTTGTAAGGGTTTGTTATGTTTTTACGAGTTGATCACGGACTGATATCAGTTAGAGAACCATTGAAAACTAGGGAGTACTGGACAGCTGCTGTTTCATCCTAGTTTGGACCAGTGAGGTCCAATTAGATGTCACGTGTGTGGATGGATGTCCCACCAACAACAATGGTTGGGGTCGCGCTAAATCACAAATTGGTAGAAGTTAGAATTCATGAGCCGTTGAATCGGGTCCCAGTGGCTGAATGGTATACGAGCTAGCTTGCCTTGTAACCGGAAGGTCCTGGGTTCGAACCCTGGTGGTGGGTGCGTACTGCCGATGATTCCCAAACTAGCTGGATGAAACAGCAGCTGTCCAGTACTCCTTGTTGGATTCAATGGTTCTCTAACTGATATCAGTCCGTGATCAACTCGTAGAAAAGAAAATATTTGCTCATATGGAGGTTTCGTGAGTGTAAAATTCTTCCCCAGATCGGTTGGTGAACACGTTCATCGTAATCCAGTTGTCATGATTCTCGAGGTAAATGCTTATCTAAGTTGAGTTCAGAGAACATATCAAAGGTTTGTGGTCAGTGAAAATCGTCTATTCACAACCCTCCACTGAATATCGAAAATATCCTATATCATAGCACATAGCCAGGAGTTCTCTGCAGAATGCTCTGCACTTTGTTTCTGCTAGTTGTGGACGCCTCGAGTGGTTGCCACTCTCTGTTGACCAGTTGTTGCAGAACTGCACCGGTTGCAGTGTCTGATGCATCAAGTGAAATACTTAACGGTGTCGTTGAATCCTGATTTAGCTTTAGCTTTTTAAACCTGAGTGAAAGCATTTTGAGCAGACGAGTCAAGTCCGATGGACTTTTTATTCCCTTGAAGGAGGTCTGTTAGTAGCTGAATCAGGGAAGCGTAGTCGGGAATAGACCGTCGGTAATGGCTTACCAAGCCGTTTAAAGTGCGAAAATTTTCACTGTCTGTGGCTCTGGAAAGTTCAGTATCGCCTCAATTTTACAAGCCAGTGGATGAACACCCTTGCAGTCAATGGTGTGGCCAAGAAAGTCGAGTGAATCAACGCCTATCTGACACTTCTCAGTACTAGCGGTAACAATATGTAAGTGTAACCTTCCGAGTGCCAAGTCCAAGTGTCTAAAGTGAGTTTCCTTGTCTGGAGTGGCAACCAGGCGGCCGTCTAAGTATGCATATACAAAGTCGACGCTACGAAATTCTTCGTTAATGAACCGTTGGAATGTTTGTAATGCAAGCCGGAGGTCGAATGGCATACGTAGAAATTAAAAAGTCCGAAAGGCAAAATAATAGCTGTTTCTGGAATATATTCTGGTACCACTGGGATTTGGTTATATTCTTTAACGAAGTCTATTTCCAAAAACATAGTTGCGCTAGATAATGATGCCTTCAAGTAATGCACGTGAGGCAGTGGATAGCACAGTAAAACAAATCTGCCAGGCAATGACCCATCTCAAGGAACTTAGCCCTAAGTTCCTATTGTAATGAAGACGTTTTCGTTTTGAACCGATAAATACTACGTACGTCTTTCAACTTTAAATCCAAAACACCAGTATTCCTTGAACGAAATTATATTGTTTGGCAATTAAAGTGAAGAAAACTACGAAGTCTACAAACAAATGTTAAGTACAAATGAAGTTATAAAGTACTTTTATTCGTATTTAACTCCAATCTTCATTCAACATGCGAGCGATCGACCATTCGCGCCTTCGAATTGCCCACCAATAGTTGCCAGTTCCAATAAACAAACGTTCAATGTTCACGTCCATTGACACTCCCCGGCAAAAAAAGTCCATCCCTTTTTTCCACAGCGGCCGTAACCTTGAACTGAACTGCCAATGCGGGAACCTGGGCCAATCGGGACTAGGCTGAAATTGAAAAAGCAAGACAAAAAAGCCCAACACACAGCAAACATACCACATCACACCGACACGCTCTCCCCGGCGCATGGGATCTACGCTCTCTGACGACAATACCACCACTGATCTGGTTCACGAAGTATCGATTGCTTCATTCCATTCTGGCCCAATCCTCTCCCCGGCGTATCCAATCGCGTACGCTGACTCTAACACTACTCGATTCGTTCACAAGTTTAGAAGCGAATTCAGAAGTACTTACAAAAACATTACAAGATGATTCACACAATGTGACAACTATAAAATTAACTGACAATCAGATGAATCGGAACCCACTGAATTACTCAACACAAACATATGTCCAGTCAATACATCAAATATTGCAGATTCTGCCTTGACAAGCTACCCTTGAAGAACTGTAGCACTTACGGCAGTACGCCTACATTCTTTCTCAGGTTGACGATCCAAGTGGGAGACGTCCGAACACAAACAAAATTAATCAACAGATAGAAGAGGGATGATACCAATTGATTATATACAACATGAACATATGCATAAAATAATACACCAAGTACGATGGACTGCTCTTCGACGTACTACCCTTGAAGAATTGTAGGACTTACAGTAGTACGCCTACAACCCTTCTCAGGTTTACGCCCTTAATTTGGAAAATCGTCGTTGAGTTAATTTGCTGACCTCCTTCCATCATCTATATCCTCGACTCTGAATGGTAACACGCCCATGACATTGTATCGTGGAAGGTAGATGACTAACAAACATACTACGTATCTCACCAACCAAGCGAATGTACAGAGTAATTTGCACCAAAGATAATAACATTCAAATAGTAGTTTAAAACCTGAAATGCCTTTATTCGTGAAAGCCAGTCTAACAGTTACCACCTTGTACACAGTTGGCTTATCGTCACTAAACTGGCCATTGACTTTCGTCCCTTCGAACGGACCGACACTAGAATAATCACTGCATAAGCACGTGGGTTCATGGACGGCTCTTTTACTGCATATGACAACACCAACGACGACTGACTGACACCAGTTGAAGAACTTAGCGGTGTATCAGAAGCTGTTGTTGTTAGACCTTTAGGAGGTTGTCTAACCACAGGATTACCACCACTGCTATCTTTTATTATTGGCTCCAGTTCAGCTTTAACATCTGTCGATAGTTAGGCTACACTCGGATCATTTACACTGACGGTCTCACGATTATTCATATCTGCAGCAACCGCATCCGCCTTTAATTCTACTTCACTTTCAAGTTGTACAGAACCTTCGTTCAACTCAGTAGTAGTAGGCATTCCGCTAATCTCATCATGATCAGCCACAGACAAATGTAAACTATCGTGACCATTGTTACAAATACCCACTTTACCGCCGTTTGTATTGTTGACCCCATCATTTTCAACCTCTTTAATAACAGCCGCAGATGACTTAGGTACTTCCTCATGAATCCATAGAGGTTTTATACCTTCACTCTGACTAGTAATACCTTGTAAACTTGTGGAGTCAGAACTGGACACTGAAACTGTAACCTTCTTCTTATGCACAAACTGCGGTGTCGTCTGAGCCACTCTTTACAACAATGGATTACCAGTTGCGACTACAGGCTTCTTCACCGCACCATTATCGATACACGATTCGGAGTCAGAACACGATGACGCTGACTTCACATTTAGCTTGCCACTAAACTTGCTCATTACTTCACAGTTCGCTTTAGTATGCACTTCCTACAAACGGACGAAGCACAACCGTGTTTGTCTTGCAGCTTGTAACTTATCCGTTGGGGACGTCCCAATAAAGCTGTCACAATCATTAGGTTTACTAGAAACCATACAGCTTTCTCGGTATCCACTACGCTGAGACCCATTCGTCATAAATGATCGCATTTTGCTCTCTGATTTCTCTATTCCAAGGGTGGGATACAGTATACTAGCAAACTTGCTCAAAGCTTGGTTGACACTGTCTTTCACCAGGCTCACAATGTCATCCAACCTGGGCTCTAAACCTTCCTCCTCTAGACGTGAACAAACCTTTATAAACTTCCTTTGTAGACGAACAGGTAATCTATTGGCAACAGTCTCAAGCACGAAACTTGAGTTCAATTCATATACGCAGTTAAGAGACATGAGTGTATTTCTATATACCATCAAATTATCCATGAACTCTGCAAGTTCCTCTGCATTATCGTTTAACTGTGATCCATTACCTTTCACAGTCTCAAAAACGTTACGGGATACCATAAATGGTCTCCCAAACCTTTGACGTAGTATCTTCATTGCCTCAGCATATCCTTCGTTCGGGGGCATAAACTTACAGCA